AGACCCACCTCTGCCACGTGAATTTCAGAAACCAAACCAGAAGATGCAAATTTGCTGAAAGAAGAAAGAATCTCTTAAGTCCATCTTATTTTTAGAAGATCCTCTGCGGAGAAAACAAAGTCTAATTAAAAACAGACTTTATTGTTGCAGTAACCCACCATTTCACATGTGACCCTGGGAGTCTTCCACCTCTCTGGGTTCGTTAAATCTTGTTGTTAACTGCCCGAGTCCTGCCTAGTTTCAAAAAACAAGTTTGAATACCTCCTTCTACCCCCGTATCTTACTATTTTCAAGGCACAAAATGAACATCACCCTTATGGGGAAGCCCTGCTCTTTAATATTTATTTTTAGAGAACGCTACTTATAATGATTTAATGCCTTTTTCCTTTTGGTAACTGTAAGCTGAGTGTTTTTGTGTGTGCTAATCTCCACTTAATCTTTCTTACCGCTGCAAATAGCACGGGGGAAAAGATGTTTTTGAAGAACAGCGTGGCTTGGAAATCGTGCTCTTTTTTTTTTTTTTTTTTTTTTTTTTTTTAATTACCAGCCGTGAAGAAATCTGTTTTTCCACCAATTGACTTGCATACTTTTTAGTGGTATAACAGGTTCTGAGGGGAGATCTCCACCACAGATAGCAACGTGAACTTCCCTCCTTAGGAGACAACTGCACGTTGTATCTATAAGATTCTCCTGAGCACGTTGTCTTACAGTTACTCCCTTTGTGGCGAATGAAGTCCAGGGGGTTTGGTCCTTCCCTTCCATAACCTCTGTGCTTTTCAGAAAGGCTGGGGACAGGAGGAATGCCTCTGGGCATGTCTCTGCTTCCCTTCCCTAGCCAGCCCCCTCCATGGCTCTTCAGCAGAGCAGCAGATGGGAGCAGCAAACACGGTTGGCTGGAGGGCAGAAATCCTAGCCACAGAGTCCTCGTTTTGGTCTTCCACAAACTGACACCATTAGTATCTCCCATGGCATCCATTCAGAAGTCATCAGGAGCTGCGTGCCGAGGGAGGCTGAAGGATTTGGATGCAACATCCAGGCATTTGTGCCTCAAGGGGCCACGATGGCTGGAAAGGGGAGCAGCAGCCCCCCTTGTGAAGGATGCACGGGGCTCCAAGGACACCTCAGCCCTGGCTTTTGGAAGCTAACAGGGAATCGTGGGATCAAAGAGAAGGTTTGCAAGGTTTTGAGAGGCTTGTTAAAACGTGTAGCTCTGAACCTCTTCCTGCAGTGTGCTGTCATAGAACTGGCTTGGGAAAACAGCTGCCAAACGAGCAGAAGGAGAGTGTCAAGGGCAAGCCTGGGGATGGGGTGGTCCAGCTCATGGGCTTCCCACTCCAACCAAAAGTAAACCATGGAGATACAGAACCATAGAATGGTTAGAGTTGAAAGGGACCTTAAAGATCATGGAGTTCCAACCCCCCTGCCCTGGGCAGGGACACCTCCCACCAGATCAGGTTGCTCCAAGCCCCATCCAGCCTGGCCTTGAACACTTCCCACCTGGGACATCCACAGCTTCTCTGGGCAACCTGTTCCAACGCCTCAACACCCTCACAGTGAAGAAACTCTTTCTAATTTCTAATCTAAATTTTCCCTAAACATCCTCCCTGTACCAATGAGGACTTCTGCAGAGCTGGTGCAGGATGGTGCATGATGCACCTCAGCCCCCTACATCCCTGCCTCACCGGGACCCACAACTGGCCACAGACAGGGGCAGCGCATCAGGAGCAGCCAGGAGGGCTGCCGTGGGGCAGCAGCTCTTGCTGGCATCACCACTTCTCAGCTGCCAGGCTCCACCTTGCCAGATGGCACCACCTGGGGCCACCGACCTGCTGCGAGCAGAGGTGGCTACCAGGGCACACGTGACCCATCAGCATGGAGCTCCTCTTGCTTCCCATCCCCCTCGCTTGGCTGCGAGCAGACCGTGAGACCTGACAAACCTCAAACCCGCCGAGAGCAAGTTTGCAGAGCCTCTGATTTCCGCCCGGGAGGTCCCCCAAGCCTCGGTCTAAACCTCCTCCTTGGTGCAAGACCTCCACATCTTCCTGCTTCTACCCAGCACACCGTCAGCAGCACCCCCAGCCCCCAGACATCAGCCTTCAACTACCCTGAATTTCATCACAGAAAGCAAATTTTGCCTGGCCACAACCTTGAAAGGGACAAAAACAAATGCCACGGGTCACAGCCTGTTAGATCTGATCCGCTCTCCAGATTTACCACCTTTTGTTTGTTTGTTTTCCCCTCCCCTTTTTATGTGGTGGTGGTGTCAGATCCTTCTCCCGGCCAGACAGATCTTACGGAAAAAAACTCTTGTTATTCATCAGATTTTGCAGTTTGAGGGGGTGGGAAATGATGCTACAAAGTGCAGCTTGAGGAGGGCTGGGGGGAAGAGGAAGCCGTGGCTGTCCTTGTGCAACGACTGCCAGCTCTTTCTCTGTGAAAACAGGCTCGTGCTTCCTCTGCTGCGGCTTCTCACGCCGCTCGAGCTCCCCGGGGGGAGGCAAAGAAGAAAAGTCATCAGAGAAACAGATCAGGAGGGAGAGAGATGATGACTGACCCTACCAACGGCACCGTTTGGGGATTTTGGGGGGCATAAAATAGACCTCAGACCCATGTGCTGCTCTGGGTTGCCACCATTACTAGCCATCCATAAATCTGAAGTAAAGTAAACAGCCTTAAAGTAAATTAAAGTAAAGTAAGAGCTCTTAAAATGGAGGGAACTAGTTAACAAGGAAGGCCTTTGAGTAAGGGGTAGGATGCGTTACGAGAAAGTCTTATGAGGAGAGGCTGAGGGAGCTGGAGGTGCTCAGTCTGAAGAAGAGGAGGCTGAGGGGAGACCTTCTCACCCTCTATAACTACCTGAAGGTGGGTGTAGAGAAGTGGGGGGTCGGTCTGGTCTCCCAAGTCCCAGGAGATAGGACAAGGGGAAATGGCCTCAAGTTGCACCAGGGGAGGTTTAGATTGGAGATCAGGAAACATTTCTTCACCGAAAGGGTTATCCAGCATTGGAATGGGCTGCCCAGGGAAGTGGTTGAGGCACCATCCCTGGAGGTGTTCAAAAGACGGGGTTGACATGGTCCTCAGGAATATGGTTTAGGAATTTTTATTTCCTATTTCTTTTTTTTTTTTAAGGTCCCTTCCAACCTAGACAATTCTATGGTGGAACACTAGTGCCAGCAGGGTGGTAGATGAAAGTTGTACCTGGGTGGTGGTCACGGTTTCCCTTGGGCTAGAGGACGCAAGGGATGGCGTATGGGCATGTCAGCAGACCTGTGAGCAGAGGGAGGCCACCCGTGTCACCCTGACCCTGCCACCACGGGAAGGAGTCCTGACATTAGCCTCTCCACCCTCTCTGAGCTGCGGCTGCAATACCTGACCACGGCACACCTGAGGGATGCTAGAGGTGGTTTTCACAACAGGGCTCAGACGGCCTTGCCCGGGTGACATCTCTCTAACTGGTTTGGTTTATTAGCCAGCTCTCACCGAGCGTAACACTCCAGTCACACCGTGGCAGGAGCAGGGCAGTGATGGTGCCTCTGTCCTGGGCACTGGTGAGGCCTCACCTCGAGGGCTGTGCCCAGTCCTGGGCCCCTCACTACAAGAAGGACGTTTTGCTGCTGGAGCGTGTCCAGAGGAGAGCCACCAAGCTGGGGAGGGGTTATTCCTCTCCAGGGGCACTTGCTTTTATTGAATTTCATCAGGTTCCTCTCTGCCCATCTCTCCAGCCTGCCCATGTCTCGCTGGATGGTGGCACAGAAGTGTTTCTCAGAGGTGTTTCTTATTCCGCTGGGTCATTCATTCTCATGCCAAAATTGTGACTCATTAAAAGGCCAAGCTTGGGTTTGGGGGGGGCAGGGGGGAATCGCAGGAAGGAAGAAAAATAGCTTCTGTAAGAGCCTTCCTGTTTATCCACGGCTTGGGAAGAAAAACCCCAACAGAACAGAAAATACACACACCCCCCCTCCCAGCTCCATTATCTTTGCTGGCACAGCATGGGCTCCTTGGCTCTTGTCCCTCACCACCCCAGGCCAAATCCAGCCCCACGGGCCACCCCCTTCACTTTAGAGGAGTTTACTCAAGAGGGGGAACCCGGCCCCCGGAGCCTGAATGCCCCCAGTGTGTGTGGGCACCATCAGCCCCCCCGTGACAGCACACCCCAGGCCCTGGCCCTCAGCCACCCCGGGGAAGGTCATTTTCTTCCTCGGCAATTAGCAAAGTGGTGGCATCGCTTAAAAAAAAAAAAAAAAAAAAAAACCAAAAAAAAAAAAAAAAAGAAAGTTGAATAAACACATTCAACCCCAGCGGGTCCCCTCTTCGCTGTGTTCTCACCACCCTTTCCCTTCTTGCATTCGGGTCTGGGTGGAAAGGGCTTTTAGGAAAGAAGGGTTATTTTAGGAAATGACCCTTTAGCTTTCTTCTTCTACAACAACTGGTGAGGCCACACCTGGAGTATTGTGTCCAGTTTTGGGCGCCTCAATCCAAGAGAGATCTGGAGGTGCTGGAGCGGGTGCAGAGGAGGGCAACGAAGCTGGTGAAGGGCCTGGGAGACAAATCATATGAAGAGCGGCTGAAGGAGCTGGGACTGTTTAGTATGAGGAAGAGGAGGCTGAGGGGAGACCTCATCACTCTCTACAACTACTTGAAAGGACACTACTGTAGAGAGTTTGGTGCTGGTCTCTTCTCACAGGTAATTCATGACAGAACGAGAGGGAATGGCTTCAAGCTGCAACAGGGTAGGTTTAGATTGAACATTAGGAAGGAATTTTTCACCGAAAGAGTGGTCGGGCATTGGAACAGGCTGCCCAGGGAGGGGGTTGAGTCACCATCCCTGGATGTGTTTAAGGGACATTTAGATGTGGTGTTGGGGGATGTGGTGTAGGGGAGGACTTTGTAGAGTAGGGTAGATGGTTGGACTTGATGATCCCAAGGGTCTCTTCCAACCCAGACCATTCTATGTTTCTATGATTCTATGAAATGTCTTCCCTTTTTTTTTTTCTTTTCAGGGAGGAGAAATGCCAGCTTCTCTAAGGAAACTGCAGCAAATGGCCCTTTTCATGGGACTGTTCAGCGGCGGGGGATGCATCGTGATGTATGATCTGATGCAAAGTAAGCCTCGGCGTCGCGAGCCACCTGATTTCTCCCCCTTTTCATTTGCTTTTGTGCAGTGGGGGGAAATAGCAGCGTGCGAGAGGCGAGGAGCAGATAAAGTGAAGGGGAAGAAGCGTGGCCAAGCCTCTGGGTTTGCTCAGCCCCAGGGCTGCTGCTCTCCCCGGCGGCACTGAAGGGATTTCCAGGGGTGGATGTTGTTCAGGGACCAGGCTGCTGTGGCCAGGAGAAAGGCTGGTTCCTGCGGGGTTTGCTCAGGGTGGGCACAAAGGGAAAGCTTAGGCAGTGCTGCAGGTTTCGTTTCTAACTGAGATGGGCAGGAAGAGAAGACCGTCTACGCAAAGATATTAAAAGCCTCACGGTGGTTTTATCTGTAAATCTCTCTGTGGTGCTGGCCCTCAAACACAACACACCTGGGAAGTGCTAAGACATCATTGGTTTCTCCTGAAGGGCAGATAAGAGCACTCAGCATTGCTAAGACCAGGGCAAGGAGAGAAACACTAGATACTGCCATTGCTGTTGACAGACAGCTCTAGTCGCTACGTGTCTTTGGCCAAGAATCCCAATTATTAGGTCCAAAGAATTGATTTTTTTCTTTTTTTTAAACTTTTCTAAAATTGTTTCTAGGTATTTAGCATCAGACCAGAAACAGGCTTTGCCTATCTCTGGAGGGGTGCCCCTCAGCCCTATGCCTCTCCCTCGCTGGTCCTGTCAGATGATACTGCTTTTCACCTACCCTTATATCAGAGGATGCTGCCAGAAAAAAAAAGGTGCAGCCAAGCCTGTTCCTCAAGCCCTCAGATAAAGCTCTGAAACCTCGCCTTCATTTTACACATATTAATAACAAATCAGACAAGACTGGAAAGCAGGCTTTAATTTTAGGCAGCTCATGCCCTCAAGCTCTGGAGTACATGACAGATATATGAGCCTCTTACGCTTTAAAATATTGAATCTGGCTTTAAAAAGGACATTAGCATTTTTTTAATTTTCAGCTTCAGCATTGTTATCTAGAAATCTCTAGGGAGGAAAAAATAAAAAAAGAAGTCACCTCTGTGCTATACAGAAAGTCAAAGGGCTCATTCCCCACATCACTTAAGTATGCGATCAAGTGGCACAACGCAATGGCTACTTCTTGCCCTGCTGCAATACTGGTGGCCACCGGGTAGGTGTCTTGATAACTTGGTGACAAGCCAACCAGGCTGTTGAAAGGACACTTTCTGCTGCAGAGTGTGTCCTTCTGCAGCCTCCAACAGACAGGGGAGCCACACTGGGACCCTTCCTCCCTTGGCCCACCCCTGGGCTTGTCCCAGTCCCTTCTTCTATCCCCCTGCATGGAACTGGCCCATACTGGGAGCTGTGAGGAGCAAGTGGCTTCCATTAGCGGTGGGAGCAGGGGGAGAGGGGTGCTTCCCTCCCCTTCCTTCAGGCTGAAGTTTGCATATGCATGGTCTCTGAAAGCTTGTACAAACACTCAGGTAATCCTATTTCTACTCCTCACCTCCACACCCTCCTCGTGGGAGCAGCCTCCCCAGCCAACCCCACCGTCCTTTCACCTCTCCTGCTGAAAACACGTGGACAAATGGATTAGTTGGGCATTTTATGTCCAATACATGAGATGCTAACAAGGAGCAGCTGAGGTGGAGCACCAGGAAACTTGAACCCCTTTCCCCTCCAAGCTGGGGAATGAGCACAACACACTTTTAACGTGGTCTGGGTGGCTGCTTGCCATGATCTGTAGGCACTAAGGGGCTGGTGTGCTGCAGCCTTCTTTGCTGGAGCCCCTTAGGATGCCCCAAGGGGCTGGGGAGAACCAGCGCAGGCTGCAGCCTGGCAAAGCTGTTTCTATGCCCACTGGATGCTGCCTGCTCACAGGGGATGCCTCTAATTAGGGAAAAGGGGCAGCATCCTTCTGCCAAGAGTAATACCGACAGGCAGGTGACCAGGAAACAAACCTTACACCTTGTTCTAAACTCCTTGGAAGATGAGAGTGAAGTTGCCAGAGAGGAATTTTCACACATCCACACTCTTAGCTGAACTCCGCCCTTCTTGATGTCAAGAAGCCAAGTTCAGCTGGCACGAAGCACAACTGGAAATCTCAGCAGGCAAGCCTTAAAACTGTTTGTGAGCAAGTCTGTGCCTCCATAAGGAGGGTCGGCACATTTCCAGCCTCACAGCTTTGCACTGTGGGGTGGTCACCAACGGACAGCGTTTCCCAGCTATACCCAGTGAGCAGACATTGATAAATAGCAATTCTACTGCAATGGTCCTCCCTGTGCCAACACCACCACAGCATCCAGTCTGCTGTGCTAGTGATGCTGCTCCACCATTAACTCTGACAGCACTTCCAATATCTGGAGGGAGCTACAGGAGAGCTGGGGAGGGACTCTTGGTCAGGGAGTGGAGTGACAGGACAAGGGGTAGTGGTTTTAAAGTGGAAGAGGGGAGATTTAGATGAGACATTAAGAAGAAATTCTTTGCTGTGAGGGTGGTGAGACACTGGAACAGGTTGCCCAGAGAAGCTGTGGCTGCCCCATCCCTGGAGGGGTTCAAGGCCAGGCTGGATGGGGCTTGGAGCAACCTGGTCTGGTGGGAGGTGTCCCTGCCCAGGGCAGGGGGGTTGGAACTGGATGATCTTTAAGGTCCCTTCCAACTCTAACCATTCTATGATTCTTTGTGCCTCCTTTTTAATGCATCCATCAGTAGAGCCGCAGCCCCCAGGCTGCCACCTGAAAGGCTGGATAACACCCCAGCAAGAGATCAACCCCCAGCAATGATTCTAAGAGTTTCTCAGCAGCAGCTGCTCTGGTCTCACACCAACGTCTGCAAAATATTCTCCATGCTTAAAAGTATATATATTTTTTTTTTTTTTAAAAGGAGGTACAGAAAAAGTTGAATTACATTCAGGACATTTTTAGATATTCATCCTTAGGCTTTTTTTATCTCCTCCCCACCCCCTTTTTTTTTTCCCCATCCCTTGTAGATGATGTACAAGTGTATGGAGAGCAGAAGACCCAGCCATCAGCTGAGCTGTGTATCTCCTTGGAACGGGCTGCATTCAGAGCCCTCTTCACTTCAATCAGCTGAATAACATCACAGCTCAGCACTGCTGGAAGCACTGGTGGAAGGGTGCCTTTCCACCAAATTCAGCCAAATTTCTCCTAGTGAACAGTTTCAGAGTGTTTGTCAGGGAGGGTACGGTAGCCTGGAGAAGTGTCTTTATTATTTTTTCCTCTTTTATCACTTGTGTTTTGATTTCAAGCGCACAGTCTCCTCACTGCCCTTTTTCTCTCACCCAGAGAGTTTTGCCAGGACACAGTACTATCAGCAGGCTTTGGAGCAACTGAACAGCAACCCCAACGCCCTGGAGGCCCTGGGTGCCCCCCCTCTTAAGGTCCACAACATCCGCCTGACGGATGGGAGCAACCGTGTGGACACGGAAAGAGCACAGGTAACTCCAGGAAGGTGGTGTCACAGGTGGGCTTCCCGAGGCACTGGGTGACAAGAGATCAGCTAGGGGATTTTCAGTAAATCACAAGTGGCCTGGGGGCACTGGAAGTCGATTTGGAAGAGGAATAGATTTCCAGAGCATAAATCTGTGCTCAGATGTGAGGGACTAGGAACAGCAAGAGCGGCAGCTTCATGTTGTGCTACATCACAGAATGCCAAGGTACCTCCCAAGCCAGTGGATCCCCTTCCTGCTAGTGTAAGCCATAAAATCGTTTCCAGAAACATCCCTCTTCTCCCTGAATACGTCTCATGCTAGTCACAGAATCACAGAATGCTATGGGGTTGGAAGAGACCCCTGGAGATCATCTACTCCAAACCCCCTGCCAAAGCAGGGCCACCCAGAGCAGGTCCCACAGGAACGTGTCCAGGTGGGGTTTGAATGTCTCCAGAGAAGGAGACTCCACCACCTCTCTGGGCAGCTTGTTCCAGTGCTCCACCAGTCTCACAGGAAATAAGTTCCTCCTCATGTTTAGGTGGAACTTCTTATACTCAAGGTTGTGCCCATTTCCTCTTGTCCTGTCCCTGGGCACCACTGAGAAAAGACTGGCCCCATCCTCCTGACACCCACCCTTGAAGTATTTGTAGGCATTGATTAGATCCCCCCTCAGCCTTCTCTTCTCCAGACTGAAGAGACCCAAGTCCTTCAGCCTTTCCTCATCAGAGAGATGCTCCAGGCCCCTCATCATCTCTGTAGCCCTCTGCTGTCCCCTCTCCAGCAGTTCCCTGTCCTGGAACTGGGGAGCCCAGAACTGGACCCAGTGCTCCAGACTGGCCAGCAGGTCAACCCCCACTCTTTAAATTTTTATTCAGAACCGATATTTATGGCTGTGGTACAGCACAACTGGTGTGGGCTTTGAAAGCACCCGTAAGCCTGTCCCACAGAGGAGGGCTGAATCCCAGGGTTACTGAGTGGCTGGGGAATGCTGCACAGGGTGCTGAGGTGTTGCACAAGGCTGCCTTGCATCAGCCCAGGGTTGTGTTTGCAAGGTTTGCCTCACCCCAAGACCACTTCCACTCTGGGGTGCTGCCTGAAGAGGACTTTCCCTCAGTACTTTTACCCCTCAATCCAGGCTGCTTAACCCCTGCTGTTGCTGGCGACGCAAAATGCCATAGTGACCTCTCTGGGCAACTCACTGAGGGATCTCATCACATTGGAATAATTTTTGACTGGTTTTGAGACCTCATTTTAAGACCTGGGGACCAAGCAAGGCAGTAAGGAGTGGGGCAGATAGGGCAGTGAAGGAGGGGGCCTGTCAAGGCAAGAAAAAACCCAGCCTTTAACCAATTCTTATAAAATTCCACTTTTCATCTCACTCCAGTCAGGCTTCACCCACGTGATACCCAGTAAGTTTCCCCAATTTGCCAGGTTTTAGATGTATCACCTTGTAGAATCTCTAAGGCCAGAAACGTGGGAAAAAGGCGCAACTGTGCTGATTGAAAAGAAGAAAAAGAACCTTTCCCACTGATGTTTTCCTGCCTCACCTTTGAAGAATGCTGGTTGCTCGGGTGACTCAGGGCCAAGACAAACCCTGCCTTCTGCCGACCTCACCCAGGACACAAACCACCAGCTTTCTCCTCCGCTTTTTCACGGAGCGTTCATGTTCTCATGAAATACACTAGTTATTCATCACTAATGGTTGTATCACAGATCAATTCACTGACTCCACAACACCCCCAGCTCCTGCCTGCTGGGCCAGTTGGAGAACCCCCAGCATCTTCCCTTTGTGATTGCGGTACCACCGGCAAACGCTACACTGGAAACAGTCCTTTTATTCAAAGGTTAGACTGAGTGTAATTAGCTGTGGTCGGTGCTGCAGCCCCTGGCTTTCTTTGTTAAACATCTGAGCAGTAGAATTTGTGACACCACAAAAAAATCCTCAAACATCTTATTGCCTGGATGCTATCTGTAAGAGGCCCTCAACCTAGGGGCTCCTTATGGTTATGGGAAGCTCTAGCACCGTGCAGGTCACCTCTGGATCACCACGCTCTCCGGTGAGGAGAGGTGTTTGCTCATAAATATTCCAGGGAGCGAGTGGTTTTCCCTGGGGGTTGCAGCTGTAACACAGTACATTCTTTCAGCAGAGAGAGATTAACGTGTGGCAGAGCAGGCATAGCCGTTTGAAAAGCTCAGTGAAACTCTGAAACACATCTAAAAAAAAAATATAAAGTAATATCAGGGTTTAAGTTAAGAGGGAGGTGTTGCATCTCGGACTTTAGAAGAAGTAAATTCAGATCACACTTCGCTGAATCTTTAATGTATTTTTATGTCTGCAGATAAAGTTACCGGTATCGGGAACGAAATCAGCGGGGTACCTCTATATTAACTCAGAGATGGACCATTCCCATCAACGGTGCGTATTGGGGGGCACACAGAGACCCAGGGAGAGATGTGGTAGGAGGAAAGAGCAGAGCAGGATATTTGCTTTAGTCATCGGTGTTGCTGAGGTCATGCACACAAAGGAAGAGGAAGTTCACGTCTGAAGGTCTTGTGAAAGGTTATTACCATCACGACGATAAAAATGTAAATTAGTTGAGAAATATATTGAATTCATCCCCATGAATACAAACAGGACAACGTGAGCCACTCATTTGTGTGAAATGCGTCCTAGAAACTCTAGCTCAGTATCTGTGCAAATACCATGAGCCAAAGTGAGGTATTGTCCCCTCCCACCCCTCCTTCCCAGGAAGGATCAAGGCCATCGAGCAGCAGTCCTACCTCTAGCTAGTCTTGCAGTAGGGGAATTATCTTACACGTTACATCAGAGCCTATCAAGGCAAGCTAAAGCCATCCAGGATGTTTTTTTTCCAGCTGGCCAATAAACACAGTCTTCATAGGATCATTCAGGTTGGAAAAAACTCTTGAGATCATCGAGTCCAACCATCAACCCTACTCTACAAAGTTCTCCCCTACACCATGTCCCCCAACACCACATCTAAATGACTCTTAAACTCATTCAGGGATGGGGACTCAGCCACCTCCCTGGGCAGCCTGTTCCAGTGTTTGACCACTCTTTCTCTGAAGAATTATTTCCTAATATCCAGTCTAAACCTACCCTGTTAGAATTGTTTCCTCATATCCAGTCTAAACCTACCCTGTTGGAGCTTGAAGCCATTCCCTCTTGATCTATCACTAATTACCCGGGAGGAGAGACCAGCACCAACCTCTCTACAATGTCCATTCAAGTAGTTGTAGAGAGACCAGTTAAAGGTGCTAGAACAGATATATTTTGGTAGAAGGATGCTCTGACTCCACATCCTAGAGTAGCAGCTTTACAGTTTGGTAATACCGAAGCCTGAAAGCCTCCCTTGTCAAGGGTAAACTGATTCCTAGAACTGAGCAAAGAATTACAACATGAACCTAAAGCCTGGCTTCCACAGCAAAAGAGGAAATTTCATTAGATGAAACCTCCCCTCCTGCACTCGTTCTCAGAGACCGTGAGGCACTTCTGTGAGCTCTATTTAGGAACCCAAAGCTACAACGTTTTTGCTCAGCTGCCCCCAGCCATATGGTAATGTTTTTCTTTTCATAATTAGATGAGCACGGCTGACTCTATTTCTCTTCCGAATAGCTATGGGAATCAAGGTGTAAAGCGATGGGAGGCACTTTGCTGGGGCTTGAGAGGCTCAGGGCCAGACCTGGCCTCCTCCCTAGTGACCCCAGGAGGTCCCCAGCCACCTTTCTTGCACACCTATGCTTCCCTGGGCTCCGGTGTCCTCACTCTTCCTCATCCCCTCCTTACGGATGGAGGTTCCCTCCTGTTTCACTGAGTTACTGTGAAGATTGCAAGATGCTAAGTTACAGCCCTAACTGAAGTGCATACACCTCTCTCGGAGTTTTGTTTTAAAGTGAGCCCTCCACCCGTTTCCATCAGCAATCTTAAGGGGAAAAAGAAATTTGCATCTTCTCTAAAAGGCTTTGTGACAGACAGATGGGTCAGACTGTACCGTCTTGGCTCACACATGGGTTTCTGGGCACAGCTCCGCTCGGGGCTAGGCAGGACATGGTGTCCTTGCACCCAGCTGAGGAACTAAGAGTTAAATGGCTTGTTCCCATCTGCTCCACAAAGAGGAGCTCCAGAAGTCCCCCCAAAAAACCCCAAACCTCTCAGTGGGCCATGCGGAGGAGACCCAGGAGGTGACCAGACCCGATACAGACAATAAGTGCTGATAAAATGGCATTGGGTGGAAAACTCTCTCTGCAAAAGCAGTTGAGGCTCCCAAGCCACTGGAATGCTTCTGTGTGAGCAGTCTGTCCATCAGGGGTTATTTATTTATGAAGTTATGAAGAATAAAAAAAGGAGGGGAACAGAAAAGAAGGGAAACTCAGGAGTACATGAGCTGGTTTGGACCTGGTTTGGAGCGTGGGCAGCACAGGGATGGGGAAGGCACCAGTCCTGCAAAGTGACACTTGCCAAGACCCCAGGCCACCCTGAGGGGACCGACCAGTTGCTCCTTCAAGAGTTTTTTTTCCTCTCAAGTGGGGCAGTTGCTCGTCCCAGCTCGGAGGGAGGAGTAGGGCTGGCGAGGGAAGACCCATCGCACAGAGGTTGCAGCAGCCTAATTAGCTAATTGTACGTACTCAGCACCGACTCCCAACAAAAGCAGAGCTGGGTGAGCGCCAGGAGCTTTTAGGAAAAAAAATATATATATATATAAAAAAATTCCTGTCTTAGTACCCTGAAATAATCACCCTTCCCAGCTGGAAAAGCGGCACGAGCGGACTCACAGGAATGGGTTTGGAGGAAGGAAAAGGCTCCCCCCTCAACAAAACCAGTTCCTCCCCCCTCCTTTCTCCCTTGAGTAACCATCTTCCTACCCCGTTGGGGTGTCGGCAGTCACACTGAGTGATCACACAGTGCTCAGAGCCCCCCGAGCCAGGGTCATTCCTTAGCAACACGGTCCGGGCTCAAAGGCCGGAGGGGAGCGGAGGAAGGAATGTGCCCGCGGGATGGAGAGGAAGAAAGGCACCGGGTCGGGGTGGGAGGGAGCAGGGGGGAGGAATGTCCTGTCTAAAAATAGCTGGCAGCATTTTATTTGGGTTACAACAAATAGGAACACGCATCCCAGACCTTGAAATGTGCTTCCAGAAGCTCACAAAGCAAGTTTTAAAACACTGGAGAGAGTTTTTAAGAGCAGCGAGTGCACGGAATGATTTGTTTTTTCCCCCCGTGGCAGCTGCTTCTGCACCAGCTTTGCTGCTATATTAAAAAGTGATCAAAACAAATTAAAAAAATCTCTTTTGTTTTGCATCAGCTGGTGCCTTCAGGATGTTACCTTGAAGCTGCGGGATGGCCAGAATATTCCAGTTTACCCCTCCCCGGTGGAAAGCGTCGGTGCACAAGAAGGTTAGAAATCAAAGGCAGCTGCTCCTCCCCCTCCCACTGAGCCCAAGGAGCCATTAATCGATCGCGTCCCGCTGCGTTTCTGAAGGTACACAGTTGTCACAAGTGACAATTTCACTTAAGTGGGTGCTCTCAGGACAATTTTGTCGCCCAAGATTGACCTCTGCATTGTCGTAATTCCTTCTTTCCTTTGCTGGTTTATTCATGTGTTCGGCAGAAGCCTAAAATAAATACCTTGCAAAAGACTCGCTGTTCCAGAGGAGTCATGTGTTACGCCCTGCGTGTGCTCCTGTTATGAATTTGGAATAAACAAAAAAACTGCCAGGAAACCGAGCTTTTCTACAATTACAGATTCAAGTCAGGATGGTTGCGCTGCTCTGCCATAGCTAGAAGACAAAGACAGCTCCTCGAAGCCATTCCCTCGCCGCTTGACAGAATCACAGCATGATACGCAGTTGGAAGGGACCTCTGGAGATCATCTAGTCCAACCCCCTACCAAAGCAGGGCCACCCAGAGCAGGTCCCACAGGAACGTGTCCAGGTGGGGTTTGAATGTCTCCAGAGAAGGAGACTCCACCACCTCTCTGGGCAGCTTGTTCCAGTGCCCCACCAGTCTCACAGGAAATAAGTTCCTCCTCATGTTTAGGTGGAACTTCTTATGTTCAAGTTTGTGCCCATTCTCCTCTTGTCCTGTCCCTGGGCACCACTGAAAAAAGACTGGCCCCATCCTCCTGACACCCACCCTTGAAGGATTTATAGGTGTTGATCAGATCCCCCCTCAGCCTTCTCTTCTCCAGACTAAGACGACCCAAGCCCTTCAGCCTCTCCTCATAAGGGAGATGCTCCAGGCCCTTCATCATCTTTGTAGCTCTTGCTTGTCCCCTCACTTCTCAACAAGGTGTTACAGAAAGCAGGAGGGACCAAGCAGTGAAGATGAAGCTGAGCAGCAGCCCCCCTCCTCTGCTAATTAATAAGTCACATAATCAGGTAGATTTGGAGCCTCCTGGTTGTCATTAAAAAGCTCCCGAGGTGGCAGAGGCCATGCATTGTAACCCAGGAGTTTTGGGAAGAGGCTGCTGCTCATGCTGAAGGTCAGGGTAAGGAAAGAAGCCACCCTTTCACACCAGCACTGCCCAACACAAGTTCAGGAGAGGACCTTCACTCTCTGCTTAGGGAGGAAAACGCTGAGGAGGCGCAGAAACGGGTCCAATACTGCCACAGTTCAGTCAGGCTACAGCAAGATGGAGAAGAAAAAGAGCTCAACCAACAGAGGTAGAGAATTGTCCATCACCAGGAGCAAGTTGGAGAATGAGCAAAAAATAAAATCCCCATTTCCCACCCCCCAAACTGCACATTCTAATATGTGGCAAAGGCTGAGGCACAGCCTGAGACAGCGAAGAGACATGAGTAACTGTCCTGCCCTCACGCCTTGAGGAAACAGGCAAGCCACTAAGAATGATCAGAAGAAAAGAGTATCTTGGATTTATTGTCACAGAGCGGGTCCATCGAGGTGGATCTAGTGAAAGGCCAGGGCAACGCTCAGTTCCCTGTTCCTCTCCACCTCAACGTCCAAATTGGTGTCCTAGAAATCCACCAAAGACACAGGCAATGCAAAGCTCTTCCAGAGTAATTAGCGTTAGATAAAGAAGGGAGAGCTAGAGCAGAATATTTAAGACTTGTTAAAGACCAGTGAGCATTTCCCAGCGCTCAACAATGACCCAAACAACTGGGTGTTTGAGCAAGTTTGAAGAGAAATGTGCCAGAGCACACAGAAGGAGATACTGAAGAACCTCAGCAAAAGCATCCGTGACAAACTATTTTAGAAGGAAACAACACACACGGGCTTTAGTTTGGGATTCACAAAGAGCTGCCAGGATGAACAGCACCTCTGAGGACTCATCCAAGCCATGCGAGTGCCCTCCATGCCAGGAGAAGGATTCGGATGAAGCAAGGAGAGATGGTGAGTCCCAGCTTTAAGGTTGAAATCACTGCTATCAGTTTTCACAAAACAGCATACAAACCACATGATTTAAAAACAGCAGCCTCACATGACTGCGACCCACCTGGCAAGAAAACCACCTGGGAGATGCAAAGATCCCCTGGCCACCCAGTGCCTCAGAGCTTGGCCAGCTAGGGCTTTCGGTCACTGAAGAAGTTTGGTGGGGAATCAAACCAGCTCTCAAGGAAAAGCCAGATCAACCACTTCACATCCAGCAATTATCTCTCCCCTGGCTGCTTCAGACCGTGCACTGCACCACGACACCACTGCCTGGCCTGCCTCTCACCCTGCTTATCCAAACCCTGAGGGAGATATCTCCACACAAATCTTACCGGTCACACCAGAGATGTTATTACCTCACTTGGGGGAAGCAGAGCTTTACAAAGAGGTTCCGTCTCTAATTTTCCTCCTAGAGATGGAACTGAGCACCACTTTGACTGTAGGCACTCCTGATCATCCTAACCAAATCATGGGGTCACCAAAGCTGTGAGAACATGCAGTACCATCATATTGTACCAACGCTTCTCCAAGTCAAATCTTTAAACCTGGAGAAGGAAGCCAGCAGATCAACCAAGCAGGACAAGAGAAAAGTCATATTCAAACCCTGACTTTGGTTTTACTACTTAATAGTCAGTAAACACAGAATTTCTTACCTTTTGACCTTGAAGAACCTCAGAAGCCACTTCCTCTCTGTGCTTGCGTGAAGATGCTCACATCCAAAGCAAGGAGGAAAAAACAGCAAGCTGGTGCACTCACTGCTTTGACCATGTGGCTCATCTTAAATACACCACCACCCACAGCAGCTGCTTTCAGAGGGGACACAGGTGGAGCCAGCAGAGCTGGGGCACACCAGGAAAACAGGGAATGCAGAGGGCTCAGAACCACCAGCAGCTGCTGAAAGCCCAAATAGCTTCAAGAGAGCACCTGGGCAGCCCTTTGCACCTTCCAGTCTTTTCCACTAAAGCATGCTGGAGCTGATTAGGTTGCATTTAACTGCATTAGGTCATTGAGGCATTAATTGTAATTATATTGCGTTGCGTGACACTCAGTGGACAATAATTTCATTTTGATGGAGAAAATATTCGTCTTTTGATAAAAGACCCTAAACCCCTGGTTAAAGTCCTTTAGAAAGCCACTTTTTTTCTCATCACAGAAGGGTTAAGGTGAGGAGGAGCTTCTGGAGACCATCTAGTCCAACTGCCTCACTCACAACAGGGTCAACTAGAGCAGATTGCCTGGGACTGCACCCAGTCAGGGTTTGAAGACACCTGAGGATGGAGACTCCACAACCTCTGGACAAGCTCTACCAGCATTCAACCATTCTCACAGTAAAACAAAAAAAAGCTTTTTCTTATGTTTAAACAGAATTCCCTGTGTTACAGCAGGTGCCCTCTTGTCCTACCACTGGGAAGAACCTGGCTCCATCCTCTTTACTGCTGCCCCACAGGTATTTTATTCACACTGATAAGGTCCATCCCGAGCCTCCTCTGGGCCAACAGTCCCAGGGGTGCCAGGTGCTGCAATCCTTTAATCATCTCAATCACTTTGGGTGTGTTAAATAATTTGTTTTAAATTGCCTCGAAAAGGTGTGCGGTTCCTTTCCCAGTCCTCGGCGTGGTTAAAACAACCCCATCCTCGTGACCTTCACTGGATTCCCTGTTTGTTTCTCGCTCTCTAGTTTGATTTTAATACCTTCTGCCAGGCTGTCACGGCCCTCAAGGAAACCATCACGGCAGCAAGAACTTAATTTACAACTGAGGAGCGACAGGTAATTGCTGAGCAGACTGTTACCCTAGTAACAGGGTTACCTGCCTACCTCAACTGGTCCCCCTGGTTGAGCTGGACCTCACCAGCCCACAGGGGCTGCGTAAAACCAGGTGTTTTAAAAGCACTGGCTTCATCGTTCCCTTTTGGGCACGTTTCTCCAGGTGGGAACGTGGCTTTGTCCAACTGATGGGCCTGTCAGTTCAGTTCCTGGCTCGGGCAGATGCCTTGGGTCACAGGGGGAAACTTGGATTCACCTCCCGTTTAGAAATGGGGATGGATCCAGTTCTTTCCCACCTTCTGCCTGCACTTTGCCTGGTGCCAGCAAAATCCATTTACCTGCATGATTTCTGCAAAATTTGTGACACAGTCCCCCCAGCAGCAGTAGCGATGGAGACCTCTCACATTCCTGGTGTTACTTTGGAAGACACATCACGGCTCAGCCGTAACACCAGTAGCGATGGAGACCTCTCACATTGCTGGTGTTACTTTGGAAGACACATCACGGCTGGCTTGAACACCTTTGTTTCATTTTATGTAACCACCAAATACATAGAAGTCCTGTCATTTCTTGACCAACCTAACCCAGTTTCTGTTAATTGGCTTTCCAAGAAGATTGGGAACCATCCACAGCTTTTGCCTCTCTTTCTTCATAAGGCCCATGATGAGACCTTCCAAATACATAAAAATAATTTCATTTCTTGACCAACCTAACACAGTTTTTGTTAATTGGCTTTTCGTGAAGACTGGGAACCAACCACCTTCATTCAACAGCTTGACAGCCTTTGCCTCTCTTTCTTCGTAAGGCCCATGACGAGACCTTCCAAATACATAAAAATAATTTCATTTCTTGACCACCCTAACACAGTTTCTGTTAATTGGCTTTCCAAGAAGATTGAGAGCCAACAGCTCGACAGCCTTTGCCTCTCTTTCTTCGTCAGGCCCATGATGAGACCTTCCACCCGGCCACCGGAGCAGCTGGATCTCACGGGGTGCTGCTGGAGGCTGGCGGTGGGTGAGGTGATACCCCAAAAGCTCAGGAGATGGTCCCATGAGGATCAGTTAAAAGGCACCTTGTGTCATTCGGTCCCTACGCTGGGATTACAAGTTAATTAAAGAGATGGGGTGCACTGATCGCAAGGCATCGCCGGCTTGGCTGCGGCTCCGATGGCAGGAGCAAGCAAGGACTCAATGTAATTAAATTCTCTGTGTTTACAGGAGAAAAAGATAATCCCTTCAAGTGGTCGAGTTCCCTTCCCTCTCCTAACTCTGCAGTAGCTGTTGCGGTCCTAACGCTCTGCTTCACTTCAACAAATCCTAACTTCTTAATTGAGATTTTTCTCACACCTATATGGACTTAATTTTTTTTTTTCTCTTTTTTATAAAGTTTCCAGGCTGTTATTTTTATGGAACCAAAATATTGTACTTTTACAGAGCTATACAGTTGTCAACTGTGCTATAACAGGAACAATTAGTGAAATTAAGCAGCCCAAGAAGAAGAAATGCCTTTCCACAAAAGAGGAAAGGCTTAGTCTCACCCCAGCATCTAGTCGATGCGCTGACTTTCTGCACAGGAGAAGTCACATCAGGCAAATAACAGGGTTCTGGATGCAGCATCTTGGAGCTCCCCGGGGGGAGGCAAAGAAGAAAAGTCATCAGAGAAACAGATCAGGAGGGAGAGAGATGATGACTGACCCTACCAACGGCACCGTTTGGGGATTTTGGGGGGCATAAAATAGACCTCAGACCCATGTGCTGCTCTGGGTTGCCACCATTACTAGCCATCCATAAATCTGAAGTAAACAGCCTTAAAGTAAATTAAAGTGAAGTAAGAGCTCTTAAAATGAAGTGAACTAGTTAACAAGGAAGGCCTTTGAGTAAGGGGTAGGATGCGTTAGAGAAAGTCTTATGAGGAGAGGCTGAGGGAGCTGGGGGTGCTCATCGGTCTGGTCTCCCACGTCACAGGAGATAGGACAAGGGGAAATGGCCTCAAGTTGCACCAGGGGAGGTTTAGATTGGAGATTAGGAAACATTTCTTCACCGAAAGGGTTATCCAGCATTGGAATGGGCTGCCCAGGGAAGTGGTTGAGGCACCATCCCTGGAGGTGTTCAAAAGACGGGGTTGACATGGTCCTCAGGAATATGGTTTAGGAATTTTTATTTCCTATTTCTTATTTATTTTTTTGTCAGAGTTAGGTTGATGGTTGGACTAGATGATCTTTAAGGTCCCTTCCAACCTACACGATTCTGTGATTCTCTGATTTTGTATAGTATTCTATGATTCTAAGATGTTGAAGTCTCTCTGCTGTGGAGCACACCTTCCAGCACCATTCCTTAAACCTGGATTGATGCCCATTGGCATCTGCTCCAGCCTGTCCCTTGGCTGCACACCCTTCACTGGCACTTCAGCACCCTCTGCCCAACCCCACCTCTTCAGGTGGGTCATTTCCCACCTGAAATAACGCTCCTAAGGTTAACAGCAATGTGTTTCTGGGCTGAGTAGACTCTAAATTGGGGTGACTGCTATTTATTCATCCCCACAGCAGCTTAACTCAACGTGTGCAGATGCCCTATGTTGTGGAGATCTCTGTGCTGCAAGCCTATCGGTTTTGTGTGGAAAAAGAGGCATTTTGATGTTGCTGCACAAACTGAACAGATGAATGGGTTGAATCGGAAAACTAAGATATCAGTAATCCTGCTTTATGGGCGTTGAGAAAAATAACTTTACAGAAGTTCTTGGAGAAAAGCAAAGGTGTTTGAAGAGGAGGCTCCATCTAATTTATTAGAACCCAGTTCCAGCAACATATTTCTATCTAGTGGTCAGAGCCGAGCATGAAGGTGTACGGCCACCAGAGTGCTGTGGCAGTTTGCAATGCAGTGCTGTACTTCAGCTTTATTTTCAATTCCATGTATTGAAAATGCAGTCAGCCTGCACCAAAGCAGCGTAACTTTTGGACTTCTGTTTCAAACCAGTAATGCTGTCTTGAAGAAATAGTACGATTTTTTTTAAAAAAACCCAACCAACCCACCCTGTGTTTCCCAATGCGTGAAGAACAAAAGACCCGTCAGCTGTCCAGAAAACAATATTTCATTTATTGTAAAGTTCCTGAAACAGTAAACACCTTGTCAGAAGTACAATGAACTGGCACTATTTCTTAAAAAAAAAAATAATGTTCAAATGTCTTCCAGGAACAGCACCTGGAATATTCAAGCAGGATCTTAAGCCATGGAGTAGCTCGGTGCAAGGCCCACCTCCCCCCGTCCCCTCCCAGCACCACCCCTGGAGAATGAGTTTTATTTGCATTTCCTTCCTTGCCTAACAGCTCTCAAGATTCACCTGGTAGATCACAAGCTGGAATTCAGCCTTCTGCATTTTGGGACCCTCAAATGAAATACGTCAGAAAGGAGACAAATCGCAATGCAAATCCAGCTTTGGACAAGAAAACCCCAATATTATTTTATAGACCTTTTAGTTTAATGACTATAAAATCTATAGCCTCTTGCTTAAAGAGGTGAACGTAGCAACAAGACGAGGAGACAAGGCTTTGCTTTCACCTGGATGGTTGCTGTTTATTCCAACAACTGCAAGGCCTGGACCACTATCCCCTCCCTGCCCTATAGATGAATAGTTCTTATCTTTTGCCTCAGAACCATAGAAATAACAATTCTCCAGCAATTTCTAAGAACACCCTGCACTCAAGCAGCCACCAGCCGTGCCCCCAGCCTTAGGGAGGCAGCCAGCCAGTGCCCAGTCTGGAGAGCAGGGGCTGAGAGAGCACCCCCCACGAGGGCCATGGAGCTGATTCCTTCTCCACAACCACCCCCTGTTCCCCACAAACACTTTAAGGCATAAGCAGCTTTTTTTCCCCCCAAAAGAACCGCGTGTGTACACGCAGTCCTCCCCATTCATGCAGCTGCAGAGAACCAGCTCTTTTTCACAAGCTAGTGATTTGTTCCCACTATTAACATGTCACTTCACTAGTGACTAAGCCTCTCAAAAAACAACTTTAACCCCCTTTTCTGCAGCGTAGGGTAAGAATTCCTCCTTTACAGCTTTACCCACACTTACAGTGGAACAGAAATAGCTTCAAGTGTGTGGGACTGGCTGATAGTCCTCCAGTTAAATGTTATAGAATGTTTTTTTCCTATTACAGGTCCAATCTACGATGCCTTGTTCATAACTTACACTATTAAACTCTCACAACTTTATACAAATTCTTAGCGATGTTAAAAAACACTGTACAAAACCACCTTAAGGCACAGAGAGTTAAACAGAAACGCAGCCCGTTTGAAGCCTCAAAGCAGCCAATTCAAGAGAAACTGGCCTTGTAAGAAGTACATAGTTCATTTATACATGTTGAGCTTCATTGCCATACAATAAAACCAGTAAATACAGGACAAAACGCACGCTGCTCAGCATCTACTCCTTTTCTTTAGTACCAAGTCCCCTCCGAGGCACGGTCTCTGGTTATAAATAGGAATTGAAGCAGCTTATAGGTCCCTCAAACGGGTCGTTTTGAGCAACCGTGAGCTGTTACAGAGACAGGGCAACATCAATTTGTTTTGTAAGGGTGGGATGTGAACATGCTTCAGCCTCAGCACTTTGCTCAACTTCAAAAAACCAAGGGAGTATGGATGTGGAAAAAAAAAAAAGTCAAAAGGACAATGACAGAAGCTGGGAGAAATTTTTATCTGTCAGACAAGCATTTCCTAAAGTAATATCAGCAAACTGCCCCGGGGAAGGGACCAAACGGTAAAAAAGATGCCCCTGAAGAGTACTGTCATGCTTAAAAAACCCTGAAACAGATGAGCATCGTTGGTAGGGTCAGCAAACGTGCAGTGATGCAGCCACTGCCCACCCCCAGACATGCCCAGGTACCACCACTGCTCTGCTGGCTCAGAGGTGCTCACACTATTCATCAGCCATTTACCTTTTCTGTGAAGGAGGAACCCTAATATTAACACGGAGCACTGAACCCCTGGTCACTCAAAAAGATTCAGAGCCTTCTCGGTACACTTGAAAATTAGGAAAAGCCTGTAGCAACATGGGGAAAAAAAAAAAAAAAGGAAAAGCTAGCTTAATGGTTTCTTAGTCATTGTTTTATAGCAAGAAAACTTTTGTCAGGGTTTATTATAAAGGAACAGCATAAGGAAACCAAATAAATAGTTGAATAGTTAACAGTATGCAATATAATAGTACTAAACTTCAATTACATAAAAATTAAACTTTGGAACAGCATCAATATGAACTATTTCTTAGAAAACTAGGGCTCGGTCTAAGATCCTCAGACCTGTACGTTGCAAAAACCAGTCAAATTTGATAACCAGTTGGTCCCAGCTTTGTCCTCTGAGGGACCGTGTCCATTGAGAACTGTGACCCACCCGTGTGGCTCCCTGATCCCACTCTGCCCCATCACACACACTGTTCCTCCCAGTGTCTACAGGAGAGCAGCACCAGGTACCAGTTAGGCTGCTCCCTCTGAAACAATGAAGCACATCTCCTTCCTCATCTGAGAGCTGCATTGAACAAGGTTATGCAATTTAGCCTAAGGATGCTTCTTTCTTCCTTAAAGCGGCAGTTAGAGGAACAGAAAGAAGGCAGCAATGACCTCATGCTCTCAGTAAAACCCCAGCTGTGTTCTGGGGGGGGGGGGGGGGGGGGGGGGAATTGTTTGAGGGCTGATTTATCATTAGTTGGACAAACTGTCTGATCTAACACGGTGAAGTCAGTGGCAGGGATTTGCACAGAGCTGCATCAGACCCTCTGCCCTTGTCTTTGTTCCGCTGCACGCTCACACCGAGCACGTCTGACCAGGGAAGGGAGGCATCTCTGCTGGCTCTTGGGAGTGACAGCCTTAAAGCAAATCCATCACCCCCTGGAGCAGAACTTAACTGTGCTCCCAAATAAAGAAGTATCACCACTGTCATCTGGAATCGTTCCCCAATATGGATTTCTTCACCTGTGGGACACAAGCACCTCTTGCTAGAGGAAGCACAGCTCACTGTGGCTCTACACCAGGCGAGTCTGGGCCTTTCACTTGACATAAACTTAAAGAAATATATACACAGTACAGTTTTGAAATCTGTAAGTCAAACCAGCTGATCAAATTCTCCTCTCAAACATTTTTTTTAAATCAGTAGATAATTCCACTGAAGTCAGGAGTGCTCAAAGGTGTTTGAGGAAAACCCAGCATTATATATTTGCATTAAATGCCAAAATATACCCTAAAATATTCCTCTGGACATCTGTCACTGAAACCCTTCCAATGTCAACTTCTCCATAACACTGGAACAATTAACAAAAACTCTGCTTTCAAGCAACAACAACAAAAAAACAGAAATAAAAATTACAAACAAAAATAAGCATTTATCTTTGTTAAATTCCCACCAGCCACTTGAAATCTTGTTTATCTGTTCCATGAAATTAAAAACTTGGCACATTTTCCTTGGATGCCATTTAGCAACATTTTCTTTTATCTAGAGCTCTTATTGCATATCAGAAATTCACTTGGCTAGGATAGTTTTGTTTAGTAGAAAACACTGCTTTCCAGCGATAGCTACGAAGCTCCACACAGTTCAGTAAATGAATTCTCCTGGTATTTCTTGCAGCAACGGTTCCTCAAATTTAAATCGTTTGGAAATGGCTTTCTGCTCAGTTACTTTTTCTTTTTCTGACTGCCTACATTGTCCCAGCGTATACGAAGCCACTACAATTAGTTCTTCTGTCACTATGGATTCGTCCTCTTCAGCCTTCTCAGCATCTACTGATTTTTCAGAGGCAGAATCGGCATCTTTCTGGGTGACATCGCTGCTCTCCTCTCCTGTGCTCTTACTCCAGACCCTGCAGGCAGGATTCTCGCTTTGTTCTAACCATGGGTGTTGAAGACATTCTTCAGCAGTTGCCCGGTCCCTGCAGAAGGAGGAGAAGTGTTAAAATAAAATCATAGAATCATAGAATTGCCCAGGCCGGAAGGGACCTCCAAAGGCCATCTAGTCCGACCCCCCCGCAGTCAGCAGGGACACCCCCAACTAGACCAGGTTGCCCAGGGCCTCGTCGAGCCTCTCCTTGAATATCTCCAGGGATGGGGCCTCAACCACCTCCCTGGGCAACCTGTTCCAGTGCTCCACCACCCTCACAGTGAAGAACCCCCTTCTAATCTCCAGTCTAAATCTGTTCCCCTCCAGCTTGAAGCCATTGCCCCTCGTCCTGTCACTGCAGGCCTTTCTAAACAGGCTCTCCCCAGCCTTCCTGTAGGCCCCCTTCAGGTACTGGAAGGCTGCTATTAGGTCTCCCCGGAGCCTCCTCTTCTCCAGGCTGAACAACCCCAGCTCCCTCAGCCTGTCCCTGTAGCAGAGGTGCTCCATCCCCCTGATCATCCTTGTGGCCCTCCTCTGGACCCTCTCCATCAGGTCTATATCCTTCTTATATTGAGGGCTCCAGACCTGCACACAATACTCCAGGTGAGGTCTCACCAGAGTCCGAACGCATTTCAATACCTCGCAGAAGAGACCCATACAAATTATTCCAAGGATACGACTGTATTAAAGACAGACTGATAGAACTTCTACAAAAACCTGCCAATAGCAACCTTTTCCCAAAAAAACCCAACAGCAGCCCAAGGAGATGAACTGCCACCGTTTAAAATAAAGGAATTCATAGAGCCTTAAACACCACAATTTACACTCCCATGCTTCTAACCAACTTTCAAAGTTTATACAGATGATATATTTTTTTTTCCATATGAGAAAATTACTCATTCCTTACATTCTTAAAGAATTCCCACAGACAGGCAGTAGGCAGTTTCAATAGCTGTCATGCCCCATGAAGAACTGGTGAAGTTCCACAGAAAACATCTCTTCTATTTAGAGACCTGGAATTTCCAATTCGCTGCCCGTTGAGAAAAGCACACGAACCAGAAAAAGAGGATACTCTACCAACTCATTTAGAGACCTGGAATTTCCAATTTGCTGCCCGTTGAGAAAAGCACATGAACCAGAAAAAGAGGATACTCTACCAACTCAGCAAGAGTAAAAGGCTCAAAGCCCAGCTCATTTAAAAAACATCAGCAAGGTACGTGTGAAAGAAGCTCAGTAGATAGTACCACATGGACAATTCATATATAGTTTTTTGAAATGAATTTGAGTTTTAATTACTGACACTCAGACACATTCAGAACATGCAAGTCTGGAGCGAAATGGAGAACTTCTCTTTTCATATACATGAAAAGTAATACCACGATGAAATATGAATAATAAAAGTTCTCTTCTACTTCAAAAATGAGAACACCAGCACTTGATGTATTTAAAACGAATCCAGTCAGACATATTAGCATACAGAATTGTATTTTACTTACTCGGGTTTCTTAACCAGCAGAGTTTTGATGAAATCCACAGCAGACTCCGAGATGAGGTCAAAGTCTTCTCCAGAGTAACTTATGTTCATTTGAGATATATTTAAGAATGTTTCTTGTTTATCATCCCCTAAGAAAGGCGATATCCCTGTTAGCATGACATATGCCAGTACTCCAATGCTCCTAAATGAAAAGTAAAAAATAGAAAAGCATTTTTTAGTGTTTTAGTGTAAAGTAATGTTTTCAATAAAGTAAGTTATGATGACCATTAGCTTGTTCCACTTACCACATGTCAGTTGCTGTACTGATCGGGTCATAACTCAGAATTTCAGGAGCTATTCAGGGGAAAAAAAAGTTCTATTTTTGTCATATGTAGACATAATATTGTAGTTATATAGTGCAATGACAGGCATGTGGTAATATTTAGTATAAGCCATTTGAAGCATGACAGTCTTTTGAAATAGAGATATTTCCAGTCAAGTTATTTAAGTGATTACTATCATTCATTGGTTTTAAGTAAAACCAGTTGTTTTCCTTTTGGTGTCCTCTTCAGAAGCCAGGCCAGTCTCCTTCCCAATTAAGGAAGCATTAGACAAATTTCTCATGGAAAAATGAGAAATATCCAACATTCCATATTCCAGCACTGAAATCCATGCCCATATATACTATACAACTTAAAGATATTTTCAAGTAGCTTTTCAAGGGCTGGAATTATTTACTTTAAGAAAAAAATATGAAATGGATACAAAACCCATATATACTATACAACTTAAACTAAATAATTCCAGCCCTTGAAAGCTACTTGAAAATATCTTTAAGAAAAAAATATGAAATGGATACAAACCTCCACAAGCTAAAGTATTCCATTCAGAGACTGAGTATGTAATACTTATCACTGCTGGTAAGAATCACCTAAAGCATGTTCTCATCTTCAACACAAGCACACAGTTATCACTCATTAGACCAGCAAAGCTCACCAGTTCTAGCTTTTACAGCAGTACCACAGCCAAGTATTAATCCCATCTTTCGACACCGTAACGACACAGTTGGCCTGGCATTCAATAAATTGAAGTATTTTCTCTGTTCATTCCCCCAAAGCCCAGACAGCCCCCTCCTCTGGGCTACACCGCTCCTGTAGTAACAACTTACCTACGTATTCTGGAGTTCCCATAATTTCTCTTAGTTCCTCACTGCTCTTCATTATTCTGGAAAGGCCAAAATCTACTATCTTAATGTCTCCCAGAGGAGACTTACTGGTTAGTAGAATATTCTGGGGCTGTAAAACAAAAGAAGGAGACTTTCAGGATCACCTCAATCTAATGTCTGTGACACAATATTGCATCATTATTTTAGATCATGAGTAGCAATAATGCATTCCATAACAGGTACGATACCCAGCATCCTTTATTTATTCATGGGGTTTTCCCCACACACAGAAGGTGAACTTGAAGAGACACGCAGGCTAAAAGGAGTGGCAGGATTTTCTGTTTGTAACTGAGAATCAAACATCTACCTTTATTAGCTTAGAACACATACAAAAGACGTGCCAATAGCATACAAATACCTCCACATTTGTACCTTTAGTCCTTCATATCCCCCTTCTACCCCCCTTTCCTCCTTGCTTCCTTCCAACAGATGGTGTAAAATACCTGCTGTTGAAGTGTATCCAAAAACACCCAATCATTTTAAAAGAGCTGAACACACAAAACTATTTTGACTACACCTGTTTAAAGAAAGTCTGTTGCAACCAACCTCAATCTTGTTCAAAGTACAAACAATTGTATTACAGAATGCTAACTGAAGAACAGTTTAAAAAAAATAATAATACAGCAGCCTGAAAAACAGGTTTTTGAGAGCATCACCTTTGGATAAACTTGTTTGCTCTGACGTCACTAGATCTTGGCTGTCATCCTTCAAAGCAACTTTGTGGTCATTAAGAAGATCCTTACCATGTACTCTGAATGCTAGCTGGGTTTTAAAAAACAGTAAAATCTGAAAACCAACTTCAGACAACAGGTCTTAGAGATTTTTTTTTTTTGTAACTAAAACATATTCTTGCAAAAAAAACCCCAACGTGACCCTCCCTGCCCTCAGGCCAATGATCACATCAGGTTCCAAAATTAACTTCTCTGAATAGTAACACTGGCAGTTGGCACTACGTTTGTGCCTCTGATGAGCACGAGTTCTGTGAAAGTGAAGCCTTTATTTATTGAGAGCCTGGATCACCTCGCATCAGGGGTGGTTGAAAAGGAAGGAGGGCAAAAGAGTTAAGAGCAGGAAAGCAGCCCCTACTGATAATCCAACTGGATTAACACCAACATTTATATTTTTTCTCCTGCTCACTGAGCCATTCTCTCCTCACCCCTGTGCCAATCATGAAGGTGTGCTTCCACATGAATCATGGAATTGTCAGAGTTGGAAGGGACCTCTAGAGACCATCCAGTCCAACTCCCCTGCCAAAGCATCCAGGCAGGGCTTGAAGATCTCCAGAGAAGGGGACTCCACAACCTCCCTGGGCAGCCTCTTCCAGGGCTCTGCCACCCTCACCCCAAAGAAGTTTCTCCTCATATTTGAATGGAACTGCCTATGTTCCAGCCTTTGATTACAGAAATAAAACCATCCAAGGACCTTGCACCAGTTCTCCTTGCTGCAGGACCTAAATACAGTCAAGCTCTTTCATTCCTGCTAAGTTAAACCCCAGTATTTCTAACTAACTCCACAATGTTGTCAATCTATTTTTTCTGTTTGTAAATCTACATCTTAAAAACAGCTTTTTTAAATTTGCTTACAAACTGGGATCTGGTGGCTGTACAAAGACTTTTGGAGCTGCGCATTACCATACGCTTTATAGTAGTTCACATTTGTAATTCTGTACTTGTATTAGAAAAGCAAACATCCAAAAATGCTGACTATGCCTCCCTAATTAGCCTCTCAGATGTTCTTCCTAGTGGGAAATTTAGTTACTTTCTGAAGAGGCAAATGGAAAGCATGAGAAAAGCATTTGTTCTCTATATTTAAACAAAGAAGAGTTTTTAATGGAAACATTTAATGAAACCCTTAAGCCCTGTATTACAATATTTTAGTAGATAATGTAGTTGCCAGAAGTCTTTACTGTCTTTTTTTTTTAGAAAACAATCTTATTACTCAAAACGCACCTATGCAGGGGAAAAAACCTGTCTACAATATGAATGGAGCCATAAACCTAAATCAATTCATAACAAAATACCAGTAATTTTCTTCTTTTAAAGAAACATGATGGGGTTCAAGTGAAGTGACAGCCTAAACACAAGCATGAAGCCTTAAAGAAGCCGTGGCTTTGAATTGACCGTAGTTTTCAGCTCGACGCAATTACTTTAACACTTTAAAAAAAGGAAGATCATTTTCCCACATCTGTACAGCTGTTTCTCTTTTGTTTTCCCACTCCTATAACACATCTGGGTTTGCCTAATGCCCATTAGCCCAGAAGGGCACTAGAGATGCAGGCCAGAGGCTCTCCTGGTAGCTGTTCTGAAAAGGGCTTTTTTGCTCTTACCATCAAGCCTTAATGAAACAGGCAACATTTAAAACCCTCCCCCCCCTAGAGCAGTAAGGCTTAAAAATTCCAATTTAGATCCTCTTATGCTGTGCACTGAACAAAAACATAAAAAGGAAAAAAATTCCTGCCTAAATGGACAATCTGAATGGCTGTACTTTACTACAAGGTTGGTATGTGCACAGAAACCACATGATGCGGCCACGAGCCTAGAGCAATGTCACATTTGCACGGCCAGGAACAGGTACCTTTGTAAATGATTATAAAAAACAAAAATAAAGTTGCATTTTTCCAGGCATACTGTCAGCAGTCAGAAACTTTAGGAATCTGAGATTTTGGTTATAGCTGTATCATCATGCCAGAGTAACAGCAGCAAAAAGCATGATTTGTCAATGCATATATTCACCGGTCTTGCATTTTTCACTTAAATGTGACTAAAAAGAGCAGAGCTTTCTTGGCACTATGAACTTCAGTACAAGGCCCAAAGTAAAGGCAATATATACAAAGATCTGCTCTCCTCTGGAAACTGTAGAAACTTATTAAACTCATTCTGTAAATCACACAAATCGATTGTAATAAGTGTACTTAATAGGATACCTACCCTTCGACCCTACATTGCCAGATTTTGGAATCTCATCAACTGACTATACAATGGCAAAATCCATCTATTGCAAATTTGCCACCATTCCAGAAGCTTCTGTGAACTTACAGCCCTACTATTTCTTGTATCTTTAGTTGGTTTCAAGAAAACTATGACTAAGGATGCATAATAAAAATCATGTTTTTAAACCAATCAGTGCCTCACCTTAACCCACAACATTAATTTTATGATACTGTAAAAAAAACAACAGATCCCTAGAAGACAATACAGGAATTATCCAAGGAATAATGGGCAGAAACAGGAAAAACACACTACCTGGGATACCTCAGCTCCATTGTGTGTAAAGATACTAAGTAAGGCTGATCAGCCTGCCCTAAAAAACTTAAAGGACTCCTGTATCATTAAGCAATTGAAAAGTAAGAGCAGAATTTGTTTGGGAGTTGGGTTGTTTTGGTCCATGTCTACAAGTGGAAGAAATGCAACAATCACTAAAAGAGTACACATATTAGACTGTCTTCACACTTTTTTCCCCAAAATGAGCAATGCAAGACTCAAATTCAGAAATAAGGCTATAATCAAAACAGGTTCTGTAGAACCTGGATACTCTGTACCTGCCTATTGGGAAACAGCTTTGCTCCAATTGCTATAAAAGTTTGAACTCCAGATTAAACTGTTCTTTTGCCTTGAAAAAATAGATTTTTTTTAAAATTTTTAACTCTTAATTTCCTGGGTGTTCCTTTAAGCAAAGAATACTATGCTTCTATTAGTACTACACTTCTGCATAATAAACATTCCACCTTAATCCACCTATAAAACTTAGCTGAGAAAATTAATCTGTATTTTTTTTTAACAGGCCACTTTTGTAATTGTATTAGTTTGCTTCCTGAACATTGGTGTGAAATGACACTCCAAACAATTTCAAACAATGATTTTGCTGGTTGTCCTTGCTGTACACAACATCTTGAAAACAATAGGGAAAGAAGGAAAAGTTGTGTGTTGGATAACCAGCATAATAAATAACTTGCACAGCCCATAAGGCTCTTCACCTACCTCCACTGCATACAAGAGGCAGCTAGTCCTTCCTCAACCTTTTAAAATTCATTTAAAATTCTCTTCCATTCCCAACTACTTCAAGTTTTTACCAAGTACCAATTCAAGATCAAGTTAAATGGCAGAAACACAGAGAAAGTGTTCCCTTCCTCTTCCCTTCCCTTCCTCTGCAGCTTTTATGCACCATTAAGAGGAGATGAAAGACTCCTGACTACAGCCTATTCACACCCTGCAAATTAAACAGCATCAACACAATAATGTTGAGTGATATTTAATTTGCACACAGTAGCATTACATTTGTTCTTTCTCCAAGTCAAAACTGGACTACATGAGTGGATTTTGCTATTAAAAACAAGCTGGTTTTCAACCATCTTTCAGGAGAACCACGCTTTTGGAAAAGAAATAATCAGGTGGCAACCCATGTTTCCAGTGTTTAGTCTCACAGGAAAAACTCTTGCATCTATTAAGGGGGCAGAACAGAAGCTAAAGCACATTAGCTGTCAGTGGCATAGATCTCGTTGATTAGATTTGTAATACAAAACTACAATTAGCTGTCAATCACATACCGACAAACATTTTGACTTAAATTCTTCTGGGCATGGAGCCTGACTTCTTTTTTTGAAGGTGCAACTTAGGAAAATTGGATGGACCTTTCCAAAGGTATTTGCACCAGATAAATGAAAGGGAAACCTTTAGAGACCCAAGAGTGAATAATTGCACAAGGAAAACATTTTAGCAAATATTTGGAAACTTTTCTGATACTGGCAAACACTTTGCTTACCAGCAGTACACTTTGCACAACTCTTCCAAACATTGCCCTACAAAACTAAGTATTTCCACAGTGCTGTAAGCACTAGGTAAAGCAGCATGAACCATAATATACAATAGAAGATGATTTGAGGCCAGTGGGCTAATAAACATATGGCCAAAACCAGCATCCAACTTCAATTTTTGAGTTCCTTCAATAATGGGCCTTCTTTAAAAAAAGTCTTGCAAGGCACGTGGGTCAGTCAGTCTTCAAAGGTCATAGCTTTTAATCCTACAGTTTCCATTACTTTTATTTGCCAACATTCCAAAGAGTTCCCTAAACCTTATTTTGCAAAATAAGACCATTAGTCTCACATACCATGAAAGTATTCAGACTGCAATTAGGACACCTTTTAGGATCCACTTTTCAAAAACACAGTGCACACTGCAGTAATGTATAAACATATTAAACTCAAACACCCGATGATTCTCCTCTGCTAATTAAGTTTTAAGCACCAGTAAAGCAATGCTGGATCTGTCATTGAGAACTGGAGACGCTCAATTTTGTAACATAAGTTTTCTGATCAGTTGGAAAGAGTTTGTAAGTAAGCTTTTTCTGAACTTTGAATAAACTACCCGTCCACGAGCTGTAATCAACACCCCCGTCTACTTTTGCCATTAAGAAATGTACAGTAGACAAATAAAGCACCAAGCATTTCCAATTACAGATACCCAGCTGATTGTGCTCAGGAACACCACAGCTTTAACTAAAAACATTGACCAAAGACATGTTTTAATTTTTATACACTTTAAGGAAATTCGACTGGAAGTATTTTTGGCCAACTCAGTAGAGACACTGAGTATCTTGTGTAAGCCTACTGGAACTTTAAGGAATTCTAATTCTAATTCATTTTTAGTCCTTGTGAACACTTACTCTCACATCACTTGCTACTGCTCATTTTTAGTCCTTGTGAACACTTACTCTCACATCACTTGCTAAAAATCTTCCATTCATTATTTTAGTACAATTATTAATATTCTGTGTGTATTGACTAAATCAATGGGCTACAGAAAGTTTTAGAGGATACCAGAAATAATTTGAATAAATGGTTGCAAAAGCAGGCAGGTGAGAGATTTGTGTGCAAATATTATTCATCATCTGCTTTAGCTGATAAATGGTGCAGGATGTGCTAGGTTATATATTAAGCATGTACAGCTTGATACTGGAATCTACTGGTAGCTTTGTACTACTGCCAAAATGCAATTAAGTGAGATGCTCAGCAACAGAACAAAAGCAGCATGTAGCAGCTTACTCCATACTTAGCAAATATAGGAATTGGACATGTGAAAAAACTTGAGAATTTTGATGCAAGATACTTTTTATACTGCCTTGCTTAGTAATAATAAAGTAGTTCAACCTCAAAATGAGATAAAATTGCATCTTCCATATGAGTATGAATGGAAACTAAAGAAAATTATTGGAGCTTGCTGCCAATGGAAGATGACAGTTTTCTGGATCCCCATTACAATTCCCTTCTTCACCATAAGTGATACTCTGGATTTTGTATGATGGCAACTGTACTTTTCCCTTTCTTGGTGTCAAAGCTACTTTTCAGTAAGGAAAAATATTTACTCCATGAAATCATGATTAATTGATATAACAGTAAGGTGGTGGCCAACTGTTTGGCAGTGAATAACAAACATTTAAATTAAGTTTTACCATAATTACAAAAACACTGAAGTGTTATAAAAACATTTAACATTAATTTACTGTCTACCAGTCCAGTTGCTTCGTTCTGAATATTAGTGTCTCTGCCATCCTTCTGTTCCTTAAACTCAAGTCAATACAAAAACCAACGCATTTTTGATGACCACATAATACACAGACATTTTTACTGCACTTCAAAATGAGTCAGGTCTTTCCCAAAATACTCACTCAATCAAATGAAGTTTATATTTAACACAATCATAGAAACTCCCCAAAACTCGTGCAACCCTAGTGGCTACTGTATCTCAAAGGTGAATTTTATCATTCACAGATTATCTACATAAAAATTGTGCTATTTACTAATTAGCATTAGTACAACACATGACCAATAAGTCAGCAGATAAGAAATTAGTGAGAAAAATGCAGCAACAATCTTACCTTTAAGTCAAGGTGAACCACGTTGTTTCTGTGCAAGAATGAAACTCCTTCTAAGATCTGCCTCATAAGTCGTTTAACATCTTTTTCTTTGAAGGCTTCCTCCCTTTCAGCCACACACTGGTCAAAGATTTCACCTCCAGCAGCACTAGGGAACAATATGATTTTTTTTTATTTCCAAGACTAAGTCATAGCACCCATTTTGTTCTACTCGCACAATTTTATTTAGCATAAGATCAGCAGGCAATAGCATCCAATAGTGATACTTTCAGTTATTAAATATTTAACAAGTTTTTACAGCCTAGGAAGGCTTCTTGACAATATGGCAGCCTTGGAGAGAAGCAGAGGTCTTAGTCATTTAGGTTAGAGAATATGAATACTACAGAAACTTTTGGGACTATTTTGGAAATACTACTGTCTATGCTTTAAGATGAATGCCCCATGTGTTTGAGGGTGGTGTTTACATAAAAGGTGTGCCTTTTGCCATTCTTAAGAAACTACATGGAAATTTGGCCAGGGCAAGCCTTTGTAAACACAAAGCAAAACCAGTCCCACTTCCAATTCTCCTCAAAACACTTTGCACATACTCAAAAAGAGTAAAGTTTATAACTGAATTGTTTGTGAAGTCTCTGATACACAGGAATGCATTAAGTTTCTAAATGGCTTTCATCTAAAGAAGACTTTTGGAAATCTTAGCTCTCAGCTTGCTTCCTTATCTTTTGTTTGCATATGTTAAAGTAACAAAAAATATAAAAATAGCTACAGATGAATGGGTTTTTAAAATAATCTGAGGCTAAATGCAGCTACAACATGTACAACATAAATACATTGCATCAAAATAAGAGCAGCAGAGGCTCCATCTTAAAACAAGAATGGGCATAAGAACATTAGAATGGAACCTTTTTGCCTATGGATTGTTGAATTACTAGATAGCAACTTATAAATGAAATCAACACATACACACTTTGTTCTGCGTGAAATTCTATCATCAGCCCTTGGTGAGAGACAGTGAAACCCTCGAGGACAGTATCTTCTCCAGTTACCCCAAATTGTGGCGTGCCAAACCCAACTTTGCCTAAGCGTTAATCTTTATTGATGCACTGCCATGCATTCTGCCTTTTATTAGAAAAGAGTAAGCAATTATGTTACTGAGGCAATCCAGAAGACAGAGAGGCATATTCAGCCAAGACGTAACAGCAAACGAGAGTTCTACAAAAATGGTGCATTTGGATTACACACCCCCAGAAAAAGAACACTTAAATATACTCATTTTCATCTCGCCTATACTAAGTTTGCTGCTACAGTCCTAGCATCTTAAAATACTTGAAGGCTTATAAAAAAGGGGTTTTTTTTTCCTTCCCAGATATTCTCATTACTATTATTTAAAATTCTCCCCACAGATTGTCTTACATGCAAAAAAGAATTTTAGAGAGGGTTACATCTTAACTTTTTCAAAAGAGTTTTATGTTTCTATTCCATATGCTTGCTAACTGGTAAAGCAGTACAATTTGATTTATTAAACTAAGATTTTCTTTTAAAAAGAGAAGTCCTGGAATTCAAGAATAAAATGAGTTTTCAAAAGAGCATTAACACTTGAATTCCTCTAGAAAAACTGCATACGCCTGACACTATCACATCTTTCTTCAGCACATGTTTATTTGGAAAGAGGTAGTAAGATTTCGACTTTGAACAGATGGACCCAGGATAGTGTATTCTAATATTCTAAAATAAATTCCTGCAAAAAGCAGAAGCAGCAACAATTTTTTCTATCCCTTCAAGACAGGGAGAGAAAAACATCTACTGCATGCCATATGATTAAATAATTATTTTTCTTCACCCTGTCTCAAAGACAATGGAATTCAAGAATAAAATGAGTTTTCAAAAGAGCATTAACACTTGAATTCCTCTAGAAAAACTGCATACGCCTGACACTATCACATCTTTCTTCAGCACATGTTTATTTGGAAAGAGGTAGTAAGATTTCGACTTTGAACAGATGGACCCAGGATAGTGTATTCTAATATTCTAAAATAAATTCCTGCAAAAAGCAGAAGCAGCAACAATTTTTTCTATCCCTTCAAGACAGGGAGAGAAAAACATCTACTGCATGCCATATGTTACTATGAAGAATGATTTAATCCCTTGTAGCAGTAAATTATAATACACATACAGTGATAAGATCCACTACCAAAATTACTAACACGATGTGTTTTATAGCAACAACCCTGGAATTTTGCTGGTGTAGCTCTGCCACTTAAAATAAGCAAAACAATACTTCCGCTATTTAATTCTGTGAAATTGGATTTATACCCCAAAACTGCTGTTGTAAACCAGCAATCACGCTTTCTTTTCAAAAGACCCAGGCCAAAAAATGGACAAAGGGGGAGCCTTATAAAGCCCTATTAGCTATATGTCTACTTGGTAAAGTGTAAGCTACCTAGAATTTTACTACTACACTTAAAAGAACTTAGAATTAAATGTGTGAAGGCAATAAAAGTTGAAGCATATAATGTCCCATACTGAAATCGGGAGACTGCACTACCATATAGAAACATAGAATTGTCCAGGTTGGAAGGGACCTTTCAGATCATCTAGTTCCAACCACCAACCTCACTCTGATCAAACCCATCACTAACCCATGTCTCTAAGCACTATGGCAACCCGGCTTTTAAATCCCTCCAGGGATGGGGCCTCAACCCCTTCCCTGGGCAGCCCAGTCCAAGGCTTAAGAACCCTTTCCCTGGAAACATTTTTCCCAATCTCCAATCTGAACCTCCCCTGGTGCAACTGGAGGCCATTTCCTCTTGTCCTATGTGAGAGGAGAAACCAAGAAAACCCTTCTTTTTTAAAAGGTATTTAAGTAACTTCTGGCACCTCTTAGCATGTCTAGGTTTATCAGTATTTTAAATTTAAGAGTGAGACAAACAAATACAGCCTTTACACATAGATGCTCACTTCATGATTTACAAAACATGGCCATTCCCAACTACCATACACAAATACACTTTGCTTCACAAGTTTCACATAGGTGGTTTGACTAGCAAGGCTTCATTTTTTTTTGGATCAACATTGCTATTTAGGATGGAGATAGAACAACTTTTTCCAGACAAATTCTTCTATCAAAAAAAATTACCACATTCAAACAATTAACTAGTGACCCTTGACAAGAACATTGGGAAATCTGTTACTGCGAGACTGTTTTGTGTATTGTTGCTGTGGATTAATTCCCTCAAGCAAAACAGTCAACTAGCTGTGAGCCAACCCAGTCACAAGTGGCTGGAAGTACAATGTCAAAATGAGCTCCAAAAAAAGATTCTCCTGCACATCTGTGCCAAGTTTTGCCAAGCTGCTCACAACTATTCTGTATTCCCTAGCTAGAGCCCAGGGGAAAAAAAAAAAAAAAAGAAAAGACTTAATCAAAACACAGAAGGGATTAAAATACCTGCTAGGAAAGTAGTATAGGCACATCATTGCCGTGATTTCTGTATACATACAGACTAGGAGTTCTCTCTTGTTGGTAACACCTACCCATTTTTCTTCTAAGAGCACATCTTCCATTCAGCTGTAGCTTTTCTAATGGTCATTATGAAATAACTCTGCAAACCACTGGGCACCCCCACCCACCTCCACAGAAAATCCTCCTAAGGGATAAAAGCAAAGAATTGTCCCTAGGACAAGAAAGTCTTTAGGAAAACATGTCCTCTTAATATGAAAAAATGGAGAAGGAAATACTTAAGAGCACAGTGTTTTGAAATCCAGTGATACTTTGAATGCATTATTTCTTCAGTACTTAACTAGGTGCATGAAAAAATACAAGACACATGAATTCTTTCCAAATCCTTTCTTTAGCTATTTTAATTTGTTTCTGAACATACTGTTGTGCTATTAATTTCAAGGGAAATCCAACAGCTCTTCAATGAAAAGCAAGCTAACATTTTATTAGCTCTTATCAGTTTAAACAAGCTGAAAGTCAGTTGGAAGTCTCAAGCATTAATCTTGGTTACAATTATGTTGACTTTAGAGCCGATGGAGACTGCTTATCTTCCTTCAAACATATCTTAACAATGCACTGTACGGAATTCAGCATCCTACTTCTTTCAAGTGCACTTACAATACACCGCCACAGTCATTTAGCATATCATTAGAAAAAGACTGAACAAATCTATTTCAGTGCATCTGAAAAAATTCAACATTCCCCCAGCTTTAATGGGCCAGACATTAAGATAGTCTCCTGAAAGACTCAGAAGTACAAACCCTCAGAGTACATAGATAGCAAGTTCCTAGAAAAAACTTAAAGCGCTGAGTTGGACCATATACAGACTGCAAGAGAAAAAAAATAATACATTTCCTGAATCTTATGCTCTGTCAAAAGCTTTTCTTGAAAGGGTTATCTTTGGAAGATAAACGGAAAGTCATCTACTTCCTGCACACAGCTTATTTTACCAGAAAATCACACCAAGGTGGTTGTAACCATAAAGGCTGGGGGACTTGGGTCTTTTTAGTCTGGAGAAGAAAAGACTGAGGGGGATCTGATCAATGCTTATAAATACTTAAAGGGTGGGTGTCAGGAGGATGGGGCCAGTCTTTTTTCAGTGGTGTCCAGTGACAGGACAAGAGGAAACGGGCACAAACTTGAACATCAGAAGTTCCATCTCAACATGAGGAGGAACTCCTTTGCTGTGAGGGTGGCAGAGCCCTGGAAGAGGCTGCCCAGGGAGGTGGTGGAGTCTCCTTCTCTGGAGACATTCCAAACCTGTCTGGACACGTTCCTGTGGGACCTGCTCTGGGTGGCCCTGCTTTGGCAGGGGGTTTGGAGTAGATGATCTCCAGAGGTCCCTTTCCAATCCCATAGCATTCTGTGATTCTGTAACACTAACAGCAAAGGTTTGTGTTCACTACTGCTAACAGCCATAACCCCCTTTCCTTGGCTGGGCATACCATTAGATTGAAGGGAAGCAAATTTACTGAGGAGTTTTCCAGCATAAGGCTACCGTAACATACCAATCTCCCCAACGACTGAGAAAATTATAAATCCATATCTGATGAGAAGACATATGGGAATGGAAGTGTCCAAATGCATTAAGGTGTAGATACTGTTCTTTTAAGTTCTTGGTTCTCAAACAAATGCATCCAACTAGGTAGCCCAAGAACTGCATGAAATGCAAACAAAAGGAAACTAACACCATTTGAAAAGTTCTCCCCTAAAACTTCTTAAAGAGCTCCAGTCTTGATTTGAGACTGCTATCTAGGACAACATTGTTCATTGCTCGAATAGACAAGATCAAACATTGGAGCTGCACAGTTTCTCTTGATTACAGTGGTTTTGCTTCAGGTTCTATCTGTTGAATCCCATGGCAAATGAATCACTTCCTACCAGTGGACTCCTACCTCAACCAGTCACACCTCCACTAAGTAGGACAAGAAGTAATGTCCAAGACAATACAAGTAGGCTTCCTACCAGCGGACTCCTACTTCAACCAGTCACAAGAAGTAATGTCCAAGACAATACAAGTAGTAACATTATCCAGGTCCAAGTAACTATCGGTGAAAGAAAGCACTTCATCCAGCATATCAAATAATCCCAGACCATGTCTTCAAGATGATAAAGACATCTACTGTATCTACACAAGACTCTGGTAGATAATTAGTTCAGAAGCTCTTCACAGAAAAATACTTGACAGCTTAGATTTTGAAGTTACACAGAGTTTTCTTGAATATCCACCCACAAACGACCTACTAATATAATCTGTCCCTTCCATAGATGTGTAAACATATGGTAATGAACGCTTACAAAACACCAGTTCTTAAGCATTAGAAGCTCTGCTGCTCCTTCTTTCCAAAGAAATTGGAAAAAGCCAGGTAGGTTGCCTACAAATAAATATTCCAGAAGTTACAAAGATTTTTTTTTTCCTCTTCTATCTGATGTGTTAGGTTTCCCAGACTGCACCTCTACTTTTTTTCAGTAGAAGTCTAATTATCTTTTTTCATTCATTCGATTTTTACCGATACACAGACAAACAACTAACCCACAGATTAATTCCAGGCTTTACATACTACCCCTTCAGACTGATTTACCCCTTCAGTTCCTACTTATATCCTCTGTTTGAGGTCTTGTGCCAACAAACAGAAGTCAAAGACTGTTGTCAGGGTGGATGCAAGCAGCTACCAATTTGCTATCCCACAGCTGAAGCCAACGCTGTAATGCCTCAGAAATTAAAGTAACAGTTAGTGACCAATTTTAAGTTTGTTTTCTGTCAAAAACTGATACTGCTTGAAAGACAACCCTCCATGTAGCATTAGTGTTTTTCTTCACGAAGGCAAAGCGCTAGTTGTCGTGGCCCTCCCCAACAGATTCAACATCAAGACAAGAAACTTTAAAACCTTAGCAGATAAAGTCAGTGGCCAACAATTAAGTATTTGTTTTTCTCCTTCCCAAGATAAAGATCTGCCACACAGACCATCAAGCTTAATAGAGACTGAAATGCCCTAGAGAAGCTTGCAGTCAAGATATGTTCTTTAATCCTCTGCATACAGAATGTCAGAAATTTACTAACATTCATACCTGTTTTGTTGCAACATGCCTCTGGAACATGCTGACATTAAAGAAGCATCCAGACATATTTGCTAAGTCAGGGAAAGGCTGTTTTTGCAATTTACAACTCTAACACACAGCTATTTATCTGAAACAAGGTATGACTGTTTGATGCATATAAAAACAATACCATTCCTAATTATTGAACAACCTGGTGACTACTGAACAAGCCAGTTAATATTTTTGAATTAAAAATGTTTTGCGGTTGTATTAGAATTGAGTTCTAAAAGAAAACTAGCAATCTTATATTTAAATTACCACAAAGCCCATTGCTCGTATCAAGCTTTGGATTCTATTGGATCTCTCTGGATTTTGTTACATCCCTACAGGTTGCAGAAATTTAAGCTGTATTCTAGTTAGATCTGCGCTGCTAGTGTTTAAAGCATGTATTTATGAGTCTTCAGTAACAGCAGTTAGAACTCTAGAAGTTCTCTCACACCTTTGCATTATAACAGATACTTGAATATTCATAACTCATGAATTCCGTAAGGGCACAATGAAGTTGAAAAAATCCTAGAAGAAAGCTTGCCTTAGCAGACACAGTCTCATGGTATTTCACTGAACTTTAAAGGTACAGTTTCTTTTGACTTCTAAACAAGATTAGATCGGGACACAAAACTTCTCACCTTTCATTTTTGTTATCAAGGAAGAAATAAGAACTATATGAACCACATTTATCTTAGCAAACAGGTTAAGTCACTTCTGAACTATCGAGCCTCACTGTTCCTCTCCTAATTATTTAAAATCCATACAGCTTGAACAGAATCTTAACAGAATTCAATAGCAACAAGCATTTGGCTGCCTCTTGAAACCTAGACATCGAGTATCTAAGCCACTGGAGTATTAGATGAACAATCTCAACAGCTGCAGAAACTCCTATCTGGACAAACTCAAGGTGGGACAGACAAATTTAGTCACAAGTTAAACGTCATTTAAGAGAAACTGTCATAGGTCTGAATTCTCCTACTCGTTCTTCCCCCAAAAGATAATGATCTAGAGGGCTTTCCATTGTAGATCATAGGGGTTTTTATAGTTTCTTTTTAACAATGATACTACTTTCAATACCTTTTTCATAACTGGTAAAACCCCCCAGATTTCACCCTGCCAATGAAACAAACCTCAGGTTTTGAACATTGCTTCTATCCTCTTCCTCTGTTACACATAGGGAATGTAGACAGTTCATATTTCACCAAAGACTTTAAGTCAGGTTTTGAACAGATATTAATTGCTTCTATCCTCTTCCTCTTTTACACATAGGGAGTATAGACAGTTCATATTTCACCAAAGACTTTAACTCCATAAATTACAGTTCAGCTTTGAAAGATACTACATAATTGGAAAATTTTATTATAATCGGCAGTAGTTACAAGACTGCACATCACTTCTTGTAATACTGATTTTCTTAGCAATTCTTTTTGAACTCAAGCAAGCGTAACAGGCAAGCAATAAAACCTTTTTACGTTACACATATTGACACACAGTATTTTTACATTATTTAAGCAAACACCACAGAAGGTTATTCAGAAATTATTACTAGTACTTACTATTCCAGGACTAAAATCATCTCTGTTGCAGTTTCATAAACTTCATGCAAGTTAATGACCCAAAGATTGCATTGTGCCAGCTCAAGGACTGCAATTTCATGGATTATTTCCATCCGACAGTCTTGGCCCTTTCTTCTTTTTCTCATGAATTTTGCTGCAAACTCTTTTTCAGTGTCTTTCTGGATACACTTTTTCACCACTGCAAATTTTCCTCTGAAACAAAAGAAGAATTTAAAATCAAAATTAAGTCAATTAAAAGTCATCTTGCTGAGTGATCTACTCTTAAGTTAGGAACATCACAAGCCAGAATGTAAATAAGGACTTAAACCTATCGATTCAAGGAACATGGATTTCAAAAACACAGAATAAACAAGCTGTGCTAGTTCGTAAAATGAAGGTATCCTCAAACCTTTCATTTAAAAAGTTGGCAGAAATCAAAGTGTACAAAGAGGCTATTTATGCTTTCTGTGACTATGTTACAAAAACCTCAATAATTGCCCAGTTATTGTTTTCTATAGTGTGCCACCATATTGATGGCAACAACAACCAGCACTCTTATTAAATAACTACCCAAAATCCTGCTCTATTTGCCATATAATATCCAGGCTCTGCTCTACATTGTCAAGGATGGCACTTGGTATTTTCAGCATGTCTCAAACGATAACAGCTGCAGTTTTTTGATTGTTTAAGAGTTCTCAAAATCCCTTAGTCTCACTATATGAGTAAGAAACACAGATGACTGAAAGTAAGCAGCTTGACCAACAAAGTTTTCTAACAAAATTTTTGCGACAACAATAACATGAATACAAACACAGACTGAGCAGAACTGAGCACAGTGCTTAACCCACATTAATGAGCGTCATTTCTGAGAAAACACACAACTGATGAGTTAGACCAAGCCGGCAGACTAGCTAAAACCACACTGCAGCACTTGACGTCAGAAGACTTCCTCCATGGTGTTCTGGATTTAAGTGTCTGCTCTAAACTTCCTTGCAATAGACCCCCACACCACCTGCTCCACTCTGTTCCAATCATACAGCATGGACTTTTAGACTGAAAAGGTCTATTAATTAACATCTGTCATCTAATGCAGTGATGAATTCTCAGACTTTGAAGTACAGCGCTCTTCTTGTAGTTCTTACCATACAGGTGTAACGTTAATCAAAACTATCTTTTTTATTTATATGTGAAAAATTTTTTATAAAGCTGCAGGAATAGCTTGGAGGTCTTTATTTTGGTTTTCTAACTAATAGTAGGGTTGCCGAAACTAAAATTGGAGTCCTCATCTGGTTTGGAATACAGTTACATGGGCTTTGACCTCTCTTATCTCCAAGCTGCAGTTCACAGATTTAACTCATTCAGCTCATGCCAAAGTTTTCACTCTCACAGCTCCCAACCTATTAACAGACTGCTATCTCTGAAATGCAACGGCTAAAAGAAGTTGTGGTCAGCTTACTTACTACAGGCATTTGTTTCAAAATTACCCAATCTAAATGAATTAAGTCAAATAAGATCCCACAAAGTGGGAATTTGCTAGGCAATCTCACTATAATAATCTGCCTTGTAACCGCTGATTCAGCCACAGTTATTCCTCTAGGAATAATATTTTGCATAAGCACACATTATCTACAGCACAATAGGTACTAAGACTAGATCAGAGCACAGCCCAGATGTCTGTGAAGACAGGCAAAGGGCAAGAATACGCTTTCAATGTCTCGAATCCAGGTTTTTGGGAGAAAGATTAGACAATATTATAGCTTTGCGAGCGCATGAAAATGATATTAAAAGATTTCAGAGCATTAGGAAGGTGTGGTCAAAAGATCACTATAAAAATGTGTTAATCAATACAGAGTTACCACAGAACAGCACAGGAGGAACAGACACCTGAAGGCTAACAACTGGCTAGGTGCAATCCTAACTACGGCAGAGCAACCTTCCTCATGGAGCCAGGGAAAAGGATTTTAAGTTGTTCTCAGTGAAGACATGCAACTGCATGTTTCACGTACAATACAAAGCTACGCATTTATCAGAAGTGTTAAAAATCCTTGCATTACATTTTTAGCATCAAAACCAAGAACAGCACAGGAAAGCATTAGGAAGGTGTGGTCAAAAGATCACTATAAAAATGTGTTAATCAATACAGAGTTACCACAGAACAGCACAGGAGGAACAGACACCTGAAGGCTAACAACTGGCTAGGTGCAATCCTAACTACGGCAGAGCAACCTTCCTCATGGAGCCAGGGAAAAGGATTTTAAGTTGTTCTCAGTGAAGACATGCAACTGCATGTTTCACGTACAATACAAAGCTACGCATTTATCAGAAGTGTTAAAAATCCTTGCATTACATTTTTAGCATCAAAACCAAGAACAGCACAGGAAAAAAAACATAGCAACTATGCTAATAGGAAAAAAAAGAGAAAAATAAATCGAGAGACTAACAGACAAGCCCTTTAACAGCAAGTTATTTTAATACCTGGTAGATACTAAGCCTTTATAGCAAAAACCTAGACCCCTGGGTTCAGCCTTCTTTATTTTTCTTCAATAGTCTCTGAATGCACAGTTTCCTTCCGGCTGATTGTCGCCTTAGCGCAGAGTCAAAAGCTTTTAATTCTAGCGCTGGCGAAGGAGCCAGACAAAGTAGCTTAGAAAAGTTTGAAATCTCTATAGTACAGCTTTCAAGAAGCACAGCATTGTTTTGCATTACATACAAAAATCTATCTGGAAGCAAGTTAATTAGCCCAATGAGTACCGATGTTGGCGATTCATCACACGTGAGTCACTATGGAAATACAACAGTATTCACAGGGCAGCAAGAGCCACCACCGTGTGTGGCCACGCATGTCCTGTTTAGCTGAGCTGGCCACAAGCCTGAGAGGTGACGTAATTAAAAGGACAGGTTACACGGGAGTTCAGCCAGCTGACAAACACTAATTCTTAGTTGTTTAAGACCAAGAATCCTGCCCAGATTCTTTACGGTTATACCTGTAATTAGAGCTATTATAACTACTGCCTGTGGAACTCATCTTTTCTAAATACAAACCCCCAAAAAGATCAAACTTGACAAACCTGATGTTTATAACTAATAGAACTAATTACAGTGAGGCAATCTAGATTCACGCCTGAGACAACTTTCAGAGCTAGGATCCAAAGATACCATCCACTGGATGGTTAAGCCAAGAGATAAATTTGTAAAGACTTTCTTTTTGATAGAGACAGAACAGTAGATAAGACAGATATAAAATACACATTGCATACACACTGTCTTTGCTTTTCTTAAAATCCTGCTTTTCAGAATTCCTTATTAAAAAAAATCTATTAAAGAATGAAAACCGTATTATAACAGAGCATCACTAGCTTAGCTGTATTGAGAAGAGCTAGCAGGGAGAACACTTATGAAGAAAGAACAATTTTGAGAGGAAATACATAATGCGTATTTCCAAAGTTAAAAACTGATTAGCAGTCACCCAAACACAAACAAAAATGCTTTGAAGGAAGACATGAATAGGAATCTAGAAGTAGTTCTCAGTCCTCACAAGAGTCTCATTCAAGAATTATGATTTAAGATAAATCATATCTGATTACAAAGAAGCTCAATGTCATCTTTTCAGATTGCCAACAGAATTAGCATTGTTTCATCTGGCATACATTATGGCTTAAAGGAAAAGCCTCAAATCACAAATCAAATGTCAAATCAGATAAACAAGAACATTTATGTCACACCAGTTCATTTTGGTTGTCATAGGCTTAGTAAAGACTAACCTTACTTCAATGATCATTTTTAAAGTGACCTAAAAAACACTGTCACTGTAACAAATGCAGGAACAACAGCAATTCTTGTGAAGATATTTACTTTTTATGATATTCAGAAAACTTTTCTGAGATCCACAAAACTATGTGCAATTTATTACATAACTCATAGCAAACATTTTTTTCTAAGATATGGGTCCCCCCCCCCCCCCATTTTTATTTTCCAAACAACAAGGGATGGGGATTCCATTTCTGGAATGGATGTTTGTGCATAATTTACTCCTATAAATTTATTCTCGCATGGTGGAACCAACTACTTGCAACTCTTCATTTTCACCTCTTTTCTACTTTCATTTAGTTCTTCAATTGTTTCAAGCATTCTGTGCTACTGCAGAGACCAACTGAGGACAGAATCGTGATAGCATATACATTCTTACCGATGCACAAAAACTCTACCACAAAAATGCATGTTACTAAAAGCTACCTGAGAAATAAGCAAGTTCATGCCAGAGTTTGTGGAAAAAAATTGTAAATCAAGACATGGGTTATCTGCACATGAAGCTACAGTAAGGTAGACAGAAACAAAAATATTTCTGTATTATTCTATTCAGTCCCCTTAGATGATTAAAATACTTGCTATTTTTAGCTCCAAGTGGAGAATGACCTTGTCATAAATTAAACAAAAAAAAGGGAATGAGGAGAATCAACTGAATTGCACTCGTCATACATTTACATGTATGCGATGTGTACATTTTGCTAGCAGAAGATTGCTTTAGACCAACAATTTAAGGTAATTGTTACCCTCGAGTGAGACATAAACGACTGACCTTGCTTTCTTCTTGTTTTAAACCAACAATTTAAGGTGATTGTTACCCTCGAGTAAGAAGAAAGCAAGGTCAGTCGTTTATGTCTTTCTCCAACACAACTCTACAAACAGAATTGATATTTTCTGTACACAGATAATAACCTCCAATATGTGCACACCTTGTCTTACATTAAAAAATAATAAAACACAATACCCCATCAATGAGCTGAAGAATTAACTAATACTCTAAAATACTTTGTGTGCAATTAGGAGTTTTTTTGTTCAGGAAAAAGAGCAAAGCAACTAAGTACAATTATACTAGACTTTTTAAAGAAGCTCTAGTAATATAAAATACATAGTTCCCCATTTTACAGTACAATTATGACTTCAGCACAGATGGTAAGGGGGAGAAGAGTTAAGCAATCGGTATCTTGTTCTCCACAAAGATTACAGTACTTCAAAGTAACCTAACTCCAGCTTGCACCATCTGAAAACACTGAAGTCTGAGTGAGCTGACAAGAAGTGGCACCCTTAGAACACCTGTCTGAGGTAAGTTTTATTTTAAACAGTATGCAGATGAAGATTTGTGTGATAATATTCTGATTTTGGGAAAGTAAAATTAATAAGGCTTTGAAAGCTAGCCCAAAATATCATTTATTAAAACAGTTCATTAAAAAAATCTGCCATTTTCATGTAATCTTAAACAACTTAAAATCATTTCCTTTCCAGAGTAGCCATTATCAAATTTTTGGTATTTTCCCTAAATTAACCTGTTCTTCCCAGCAGCAGCCTTTTGAAGCACATAAGCTCAGCATTCTCCAAGCAGGTTTTTCCCCCCCAAGAGCAGAACTAATGAAGCCTGATCTCCTATAGCTTTGCACCCAAATCCCGCTGGTGACATCTTGACCAGGTTCCTCCCAGGCTCATCTACGACTTCCAGCAATATGACCCCAGGACTCTCACCTCTAACATGCCATCAGGGGCCAGCAGCCCCAGCACCTCTCTTCCCTGCACTGCTAGAACTACAACATCTCAGTGTTTTTCCCCCATGTTTCTCCTCTTCCCACCTTCTCCACACATAGGTGACAAGGGAACAGAGGCCCCAAATGCCATGGTGAGTTCCACAGACACGTGTTGACTGACTGGATCAGAGGCCAAAGAGCACAGAAGCCTCCTGAGTTCACACAGCAGCCTTATTCTCAGTGTTAAATCCGCTTTCTTTTCTCTCACTGACATCAGTTTTAAATTCAATTTATACAAGTGCTGTTATTCTCAAAATCTCCATCTAAAGTTTAGTTTTTAAATTGTTTCTCTAATTCTGGGAAGCGGGATGGGCAAATACAGAGTGTATAAACATTTTTGATGAGCAAATTCACCTACCAAATTAGAATTAAAAGAGACTATGTTGTGTGTACAAGGACTGCTTTTCACCTGAGAAAAAAACCTATCATAGCCAGGTGTTAATTTGTCCAAGTCCTTTGTAAAGATAAACTCTACCCATGAGTAGAGATTTACACACTGTATGAACAGATAAAAGTGAAACAATTTCTGCTATATTATCAATAAAACTACAGAGACAAGTAGCAGAGACAAGTTAGCACAGAATTACTTTTAACGGGAGTACTTGAGCTGAAGTATCCACTTTTTTGAAATCAAAATGTAGTAAAAAAGTAAGCATTCAAAATCGTTGAATAAAAAAATGTAAGCACATACATTCAAGCATATAGACTTCTATATTCTAGGAGAGAAGACAGTGAAAACACTTGTCAAGTTGAGGAGAGAAAAAGATAGTCTGAACCAAAATATGTGCAACTGTTGCACAAAACCAAGACAAACACAGTCACTTAAGTCATTTTAACCTAACTACAGGTGCAAAATCACATCCTTCATGCAAAGGTCACATTTAAAGGTAGTTCTGGTCAAAAGCTACTGCACACAAAAAGCCATGCTGAGATTTACTTGTTTAAACTGCAGACTAAGATTTGCTGAAGTACTTAGTTCTTGTTCATAGTGCAAAGCCAATCATTTCAGTTGGCCTTTTGTGTGCCAGAAGGAAGCTTCATCTAGTCTATTTTCTGACTAGGCCAATTAATGTGATCCAGTTCTGAGACAAGCTCTCACTCCATGGCAGAGCTGCAAAATATTTTCTGTAAAGTCATCTGATCTCCAAATTAAAAAAAAAAAACAACCCAAGCAGCAGTGACACCAGGACATCTTGAGCTACACCACTCCTTTGCCTTCTTGACTGTTGCTTAGAATTTAGGCTGCTTTGTAGCCAGCATTTAGCCACCTTCAGTTTCCAGGCCCTGGAAATTGTGGTCACATCATCCTAAAAAAAAACCAACCCCAAACCTTTCTCACTTTGTGGGATGTTTCTCCCACCTGCTTCCCATGCAAACGCTTTAGGCCACTATGTTTAAACAGGTATTATTCTATGAGTACAACACAGTAAGCAAGCATTAAGCTGACACTGAAGTCAACCCAAAAAGTTGTTAGAGGTACCTAAGAGCAGCTACATGTGCTTTGAAACTCCCTTTTAGCTCCAAAACGGTTGTTTCTGCTGCTGTATGAACTGAGCTACAGAGGTAGCATAACTTGCAAAAGAATATACTTAAGGAATGTATCTTGCCATATATCCTACAGTATTTAATCTGTTATTTTTATATACTTTTTAGATAAAGCACAGCTGATTTTGAGTCAGAATACCAAGTTAGCACAGAATTACTTTTAACGGGAGTACTTGAGCTGAAGTATCCACTTTTTTGACTTCCCATTTACCACCTATGCTTTGCTGCAATGAGTTAGCACAGAATTACTTTTAACAGGAGTACTTGAGCTGAAGTATCCACTTTTTTGAAATCAAAATGTAGTAAAAAAGTAAGCATTCAAAATCGTTGAATAAAAAAATGTAAGCACATACATTCAAGCATATAGACTTCTATATTCTAGGAGAGAAGACAGTGAAAACACTTGTCAAGTTGAGGAGAGAAAAAGATAGTCTGAACCAAAATATGTGCAACTGTTGCACAAAACCAAGACAAACACAGTCACTTAAGTCATTTTAACCTAACTACAGGTGCAAAATCACATCCTTCATGCAAAGGTCACATTTAAAGGTAGTTCTGGTCAAAAGCTACTGCACACAAAAAGCCATGCTGAGATTTACTTGTTTAAACTGCAGACTAAGATTTGCTGAAGTACTTAGTTCTTGTTCATAGTGCAAAGCCAATCATTTCAGTTGGCCTTTTGTGTGCCAGAAGGAAGCTTCATCTAGTCTATTTTCTGACTAGGCCAATTAATGTGATCCAGTTCTGAGACAAGCTCTCTCTCCATGGCAGAGCTGCAAAATATTTTCTGTAAAGTCATCTGATCTCCAAATTAAAAAAAAAAAACAACCCAAGCAGCAGTGACACCAGGACATCTTGAGCTACACCACTCCTTTGCCTTCTTGACTGTTGCTTAGAATTTAGGCTGCTTTGTAGCCAGCATTTAGCCACCTTCAGTTTCCAGGCCCTGGAAATTGTGGTCACATCATCCTAAAAAAAAACCAACCCCAAACCTTTCTCACTTTGTGGGATGTTTCTCCCACCTGCTTCCCATGCAAACGCTTTAGGCCACTATGTTTAAACAGGTATTATTCTATGAGTACAACACAGTAAGCAAGCATTAAGCTGACACTGAAGTCAACCCAAAAAGTTGTTAGAGGTACCTAAGAGCAGCTACATGTGCTTTGAAACTCCCTTTTAGCTCCAAAACGGTTGTTTCTGCTGCTGTATGAACTGAGCTACAGAGGTAGCATAACTTGCAAAAGAATATACTTAAGGAATGTATCTTGCCATATATCCTACAGTATTTAATCTGTTATTTTTATATACTTTTTAGATAAAGCACAGCTGATTTTGAGTCAGAATACTGTTCTTCTTTTAATAAGTGACAATTTCAGACAAAAATATTGGTTTAGCGGTGCTGAAATTGCATATATATAGTTCCTGAGACACATCAGCCTTCTCATGGGACTTTCTGCCTCAAACCTTGCTTGCTATCCAGCAGGTGTTGAAATTACTTTCAAACCCAAGGTTTTTTTCAACCAGCTTTGAAAAGTTCCACCATTAGACTGCTCTCCAGCATACGCTACCACAAATTAAGTCTCCTCCAGACTTGCTTTTCCCCACGTCACAGCTTGTAAAGCTCAAGGAAAAGCAAAAAAAAACCCCAATCCAAAGCAACACCGGGCAGGTTTCTGTCTTCAATGGAAAAAACTTCAGAAATATTCTCTACTCCACACCTGCTCCTCGAGAAGAGCACAGTGTCTTCCCAGCTGGCTGAAGGAGGCTGAGGCTGACTCGCTGGCTGGCAGGAGGGACACAGCCCCCCTTCCCAGCCAAGCCAAACTCTGCCCGCCCGGCCCCAAGGCCAGGGCCGAGGAGCCCGGGGCGATGCCACCGAAGGATACCGCTAGTGGCGGCTCTAATCCCGGCGGGGCAGCCGTATGGACCCCTAACCCGCCCCCCCACTCCCCTTCTCAGCCCGTTTTGCCCCAAAAGGGGCAGCAGGTGAAGGCAGCCCACGGCGGCGGGGGAGGGAAGGGCAGAGCGGAGGGAAGGCACCGACTTGACCCCCTGCTTCCCCCCCCCCACCATGGGCAGCCGAGCGGCGGCGGGGGGGGACAAGGGGGGACAAGGGGGGGCCAAGGGGCGACAAAAAGGGACCCCCCCCCCGCCTCATCCTCCTCCGGGGGGGCCTCTGCCCTGGCTCACCTGCCAAGCTCCCTGCCGGGGCTGAGGCTGTACCGCTCCTGGAAGGGCTCGGTGCGGATGGGCGTGCGGATCTCCGTCAGGAAGCCGCCTCGCCGCCGGCCCCGGCCGGGAGCGGGCTGAGGTGGCGGCGGCGGCCGGTCACCGCGGGAGCGGCTGGGTGGCGGCTTCTCCTCGGGGCTCATGGCTTCTCCCTCAACAAGGTGTGTGTGTGTGTGTGGGGGGGTACCCCTAGCCTGCCTTCCCGCCTTCTCCTTCCCGTCTCGGTGCGCCCCTGCGCCGGGCCCGGCTCCCCTCAGGGCTGCGGGGTGAAGCCGCTGCCGCTGACTGGAGGCGGGCGGTTGGGCAGCACGCGCCGGGCCGAGGGGAGGGGCGGGGCGGGGGTGCGGGGGCCCCGCCCTTTAAGGCCTCACCTTGGCGGAGGGGCGGGGCGCCGCGCGGCGGCGGGAGGGACGGTGGGGCAGCGCCCCCTCCTGGCGGCCGGTGGTGGTGGGGGGTGTGTGTGTGTGTATGGGGGGGAGCGGGTGGCGGCAGGGCCTTCCCGCAAAGCGGCAAGATTTAAAAGCTAATAAAGCCGCGATGAGCACCCTAGCGACGGGTTGGTGGTGGCCGACGGGGCAGGTGCGAAGAAAAGCCCCAACGAACGTCGCTGCCCCGCCAGCCAGGACTAGTCGGCCCGTGGACGCTCGGCTGTGCCCGCCTGAGGGAATGTGGACAAATCCTGAGGTAAAATGGCAAGAGCTGGTCCTGAAGGGCATGGCATTTCCCTGAGGGAATGTGGACACATCAGAAGGGCAAATCCTGAGGTAAAATGGGAAGAGCTGGTCCTGAAGGGCAAATCCTGAGGTAAAATGGCAAGAGCTGGTTCTAAAGGGCATGGCATTCCCCCGAGAGAATGTGGACACCTCAGAAGGGCAAATCCTGAGGTAGAATGGCAAGAGCTGGTCCTGAAGGGCATGGCATTCCCCTGAGGGAATGTGGACACGTCAGAAGGGCAAATTCTGAGGTAAAATGGCAAGAGCTGGTGTCCTGAAGGGCACGGCATTCCCCTGAGGTAATGTGGACACCTCAGAAGGGCAAATCCTGAGGTAAAATGGCAAGATCTGGTCCTGAAGGGCATGGCCTTGTGGGGAAACAGGGCTCAGGCCCGCAGTGGGGGCACTGGGACGCACAGCTGAGGGAAGGCGAGGACAAGAGGGGCAGCTCTGAATGGGACGAGTCCACCTGGTGAAGCCTTGGCCTCTGGTGTCTGAGGCACAAGCTCCAATGAAGCCTTCCCCGCAGCTGTGTCGGGGCTCGGCTCCTCTCCTCCATGGGTGCCTGAGCTCCATGTGTTTTTATGAAGAGCGTAGGAGCTGCCTCCCAGACACCCCTTTGTCCAGGCTGGTGGAAGTTGTTTCACGGATTGAGAAATGGCTTCACAAGCCTTCCTGGGCCCGAAATTGGAGCAGGACCTAACATCTCTTCACCACCCGGCTTAATTAACGTATGTGTTTTTAAGAGACCTGTCCTTTGTGGCAATCATTGGTCGAGGTGGTGCTGTGGTGTTTGTCTCCAATAAAGGCACAGAATCTCCCTGCCATTGCCTGCCAATATCCAGAGCATGAGGGAGAAGAGACTAATGAGGAAACGTACAGGCTGATATAAAGGAAAGGATTCAGCCCAAACCCTGCCCATTGATGAGGGATGGGAGTACAATTGCTGGCAAGGCATTTTTCTGGAATTCCCTCATTCACTAAACCCAAATCTAAATAACACATTCAACACAAACAGGATTCTGCAAATCCCATTTGCAGAAATAGTTCAAGGTTAAATTTCACAACCAGTACACATGGTAACGGAGGTTTCAAGTCTTACAGTATCAACGTGCTTTCCACCCAGAGCATTGTTTATGCTGTAGCAGGGCCAGAGTCTTACTGCTGAAAAATAAAATTTGGATTAAACAAGGGTTTAGAAACTGTTACATACTATAGTACGTATCAGAGGCGTTTGCTACAGGAAAAAGGTTGTTTGTAAGGTTAAATTTCAGAACCAGTACACACAGTAACAGAGGGTTCAAGACTTACAGTATCAACGTGCTTTCCACCCCGAGCATTGTTTATGCTGTAGCAGGGCCAGAGTCTTACTGCTGAAAAATAAAATTTGGATTAAACAAGGGTTTAGAAACTGTTACATACTATAGTACGTATCAGAGGCGTTTGCTACAGGAAAAAGGTTGTTGTATGAAAAATAGAAAAGTATCTTAATCCTAAATGAAGGTTTCAGATACTTAATTCTTGTGATATTGTCTACTTTACTTTGACAATGACATTGTCCTGGGGAGGGTTGGGGGTAAGCCTGTAAAAAAAAATATGGAAAGGAGTGCAGGAATATGAACAGACCTTCCTCAAAATATTTATGGAAAGGAGTGCAATCACTGGTTCAGGAATATGAACAGACCTTCCTCAAAATATTTTGGGATATTTAAGGTTCTCTGGGCATATTTTATGATCAAATTATAATCTTTAGGTTCTTAAGCGCCTTTAAAAATCTAGCAGTTGGTTGTGTATAACACAAAACATGGGCTTACATTTTTTTCCACTATGTTTTTTTTTTCTTATTCAGATAAATTTAAGATATGTCTTTATCTAACTTATGGAGACTTTTGAGCGTATCTCTTCTGATTATCTGGAAAGACTTTTAGTCCATATAGTCTGTGAGTTTATCTATTTTTCTTTCATAGGGTAGAAAATACCACTGAAGGAGTGTCTTAATATAACAGGAAGATGGATTTGTTGCATTCCTAAAAAGAATTATTCACAGAATAGAAAGAAAAAGAAAAATTGTGCATTACTGTCTTGAAAACTGACTGAAATAAAATTTTTTTCCACTTTACTATGCACTAGCTGTAGCACAGACTATGATTTGCTCTGTCGTATTCTGTTGTACCAGAATGTAATGGAGCTGATATATGCTGTTTTAATTTAATTTTTCCCTGTAGAAAGAACAAACATAAGTTTTATGACTCCCCTGTGTATTAAACCAGAACTGATGTTAGTTTTAAATACTGCAGCATAAGCTAACGCGTGCTATCCACACAGGGAGAAACATGCGCGGAGATGAGCAGTGCTTGATTTATTCAGAGATAAGCTAACAGACACATCAAGGCTGGTTACTCTCATACCATACCTACTGAAAAAACACACATCCTTTTTTCCTGTTGTTTGGATATTTGGCTTCAATCATTGAAACGTTATTAGCTGTTGTATGCTTAATTGCGCTCAGATGGCATAACAAACATTGATTTCTGCTTGTGTAGATAACATTAACTCTTGGATATTTTAGCTTTTTTTTTTTTTTCTTTTCTGCCGGTAGCACCCAAGGAATTCGTTCTCATGAGCTGTGTTTGGCTTTCAAGATAAGCAGGAGGTGAAGTGGAAAACACTACCACAGGTACTCTGTTCAAAAGAATGTCCTTCTCACTTTATGTCTGCGCGCACTGGAGTGAAAGAATGATTTCAGTTTTGCCCTGGAGAGGTAGCTCAAACTTGTTGCACAGGGATATAAACTTTGCTCAGTTACATCAGCCTAAATCCAGCTTGATCTTCACAGGACATTCCTCTTCTCAGTTTGAATGTATTCAGGCAGCTTCTACATGATGGAAAAGTTACCCTAAATAACCATTATCATCATGGCCCATTTATAACAGAAATATGAAATCTAACCACTAATCAGGACACATAACTGAAGATCGGTTTTCAGGTGCTAAATTCATCCTTTCAACTTCCATAATGATAGAAGAACATGATCTTCAGTGGCTGGAATGTCTGCAGGCTGCTTCAGTTCCATATGAAGCTATCTTTTTTATTTTGCACTGATGAGCTACTGATTTCTTGATGTGATTGTTTTGTATATGAGGCAGCAGGAAAGAAGAGCGCACGTTCCTCACCTGAGGTGCTTCACCCCTGTGTTCCTAAAATGCTTCTTGTCATCTCATAAAGGCACTTACACAACAGCTCCACCACCACTAAAAACCAGTCCCACACTACACTTCTGTACAAACTGAGGTTTCTTACACAAAAGAAATCACCACATTTACAATTTTAGGAAGGAAGGCACAGCTCCACTAAGTGGCAGCACTAGGCATCATTAGTGCCAGCTTTGTGGCACTATTTTTATGTTTATGAGAGATTTAATATAAACTGCTGCTTGTGTGGCAATAATAGGTACGCCTCTTTTTTGCTCACAGTGTTTGATTTCATCATTTCCAGGACAGATGAGTAAACTTGTGCTCAAAGAATCTAGGAGTAACCTTTCCAAATATTTTCACAGCTTCATACTCTGCAGAAATTTCCACTTGAAATTGAGTTTTACACGTATTATAATAACATTAATTTATGAACTGGAGAACACATCATATGAGTCCCCACACATTCTTTTGGGTGCTCCCTCAGATCACTTTCACAGCTTCTCTGCAGCGCCAAGGTGGTCCCAAAGACTGATTCATCTTCCACAAATTAGGCAGACTACATTTTACGAAATCCACGGTGCATTGCTACTTATTTTATGTCTGTGTCCAGAACATAAAGATAACCCGTTTCGGTTTGTACATTGGGAGGACTGAAATATGTACCTGAAGCACAATTATGACATTCAAAAGCCCTGTTGGGTGCTTTACATAAGGGGTTAAACTCTAGGATCCCAGTTCTATTAATCAATGCACAAATCACTAGAGCTGTTAACCTCATATGCCAAATGTAGGGAAGTTTATATTCCGTTGCCATCCTCACACATTGCAAGGAGAATCTTATGTAGTAAGCTGTATTACTCATTTCAGTCATTCTTAAAAAGTCACCGATCAGATTTAATACGGAGACATACCTAAGAGAAGTCAAATCACAGCTTGTAACAAAGTTCCTGAGCAGATTCCAGTGCTGCCCCAGCTGCATTCCTGAAAAGCTGCTATCCATGCGGCAGGCTGGTGAGGTACCTGCACTGTTTTGTCTATGGCCTGAAGCATACTGAGTGCTGAAAACAGAAAAAGAGGAGCATGTGCAATTCATTTTTCTACGCTGTTTTGAGCCTGGAAAACCAGCATTAGGGAATCACACCCAACAATAGTTCTTCCACTGTTGTCTGTGGTCCATTTTGAAACTGACTGAACAGATTGGCAGCCTCACACTGGAGAGTATTTTTTTCTTTTCTTACAACTGATTAATTTTCTAACTGGGAAAGAAAATAATCTAACCTCGTCTTTTATTTTAATACTGAAAAATTTAAAAGGTGAAGGTGTGGCTCTAAAGTGTATTTCTCATCACAGAAGGAAAGGCAAGTGACCTTGGTATTACTGTTGTTTATCATTGGCACAGAAAAATTTGCCATGCAGCTCCATTATCTTCTTATACCATAAGAGCTAATTATAGGAAATCCTACATGCCAGAAATTCAGGAAAAAACATCATTAGTTGCAGTCTTTGTGTTCTCCAGTGACTTCTGTTCTATGCAGCCTCAAAGAGCTATAACATAGCACTGTGGGGATAAGCTTCATTTGCACTAGAGTTAAAACAATATAAATGTGCTTTCCACCAAAGCCTAATATAAATAATAATCAGGGCTTGTGTTTCAGACAGAATAATGTATCTTTTTTTTTTCCTTCAAAACTTAATTCCGAAGGCGTAGGAACTAAACAAACAAAGCCACACACTCTTCATTTTGATACATCCATGAACTGTATTTTCAGGCAAAATTGATTTTGAAGATTACCAGAATTAAATTTAAAAAAAATAATTTAAAAAGCGTGGCTTTGCAGCTCAAGGAAGATTTATGATTATAGAAGACACAGTGGATCCTTTGTGGCTTTGTTCTCCATTGTTCCCCAGAAATGACAGCTATTGTCCGGTCTGGCCTTTTATATAAGAATAAACGTCAGGCCTCAAGTGGATTTATTGTCCATTGTAGCAAAAAAAACTATGACTTTGCTACCACAAGGTGGGAAGGGATTATTATTGATTTGTAATATCTGACAGGATGATGAAGGTTTGTTAGCAGGCCAAAAAAGACATCTGATGTACGTACGGAGGCTTCAGGCCGGACTGCTGCTATATTTTAACAGAAATTCAGTAACATGTATCATAGAATTGGGTTCTGGTAAAAGCTGTGGTTCCAGCCACATAAATTGATCACCTCTCCAGAAACGGACACCTTTGATGTACCCTGATGATCAGCAGCTCATCTCTTGTTAGGAAATATTGATTTTTCCTTCCTTTATAAGTGAAAAATTCAGAGAGCTGTAGCTTAGTATCCCAGATGCCCTCTCCCCGCACTAACTCCTCACGTACATGCAAACAAACTTTGAATAAAGGCCGCACTCTGAGACCCGGGTTTCTTGGGCACGTGCGTGGGTGGGTGCTACTCTGCCACAGGGGAACCAGCGCTGGCCTGGGGCTTGTGGACCTCTGCTCCTCCACACGTGCCAACTGCAGAAGGTCTCTGAAGCGTTGGCACGGCGACACAGTCTCACATTTGCTAAGGATTTGTCTTGCGCAAGGTATGCTTAGCATTTCTGCTGGAGTGTCTCCCACAGGTTTATACTTTTCCTTATAAAAACCACTCCTTGTGTTTAAGCTTTCCCATCCTTCGTAGTGCACGGTGATCCCTCACGAGGTGCCCTTTATGTAAGAAAACAGGTATGGTCAGCAAGGTGTCTGCTGACTGTGTAGCTGAGGCGTGTTAATCTGTCCTGGAATGTGCTAATGAAACATGCCTGAGATATTACAGTGACGAGCAGTAGAGAAATGGGTGTGACATACTGAGGATGCCAGAGCATCTTGCTATTTATTTGCTGTCAACACTTAATGCAGACCCAGCATATGCTATTAAGAAATCATCTTTGCACTTGCATTTCATAGCTATAATGCAGTAATTATACCTAGAAGCGAGGTATGCCTAAGTAGTATATACATCTCTTTTGTCCCTCTGTTTGTCCAGACATTTTTCTATAGCAAGGAATAAGCTCACATGCTTTCAAGGCAGGGCTGGTCTTGAGGTAGCCTAGGAGAGCGTGGAGCTTTGGTTATGCATATTTATGTGGAGAACCTCAAGTTTTAGACACGTACCCCGAGTAATTGAACAAAAGCAGTGGAAAAGCCTGAATGCAACGGTCAGAAAGATCCTGGAAGAGCAATTCCCTAAATCAGTGGACTTACACTAGCGCCAGTTTGAACCCACACTAGTAAAACACATCCTCTATGAAATAAGTAACTTGTAACAGACAGTCCACACAATGCCATAACAAAGTGATTTTATTGACATTCCTCTATAGTGATATGGTTGAATAGAAAGCACAGCCTGAGTATCATGTGACATTTTTCTGTCAATATAAGCAAAATCAGTCCAATAAGGAGGACCTTTCCTGCCATTGACTTTATGTAGTCTTTAACAAAAACCATAACAGACATTTCTGTTAGATAAATCGGAAGCTGCAGGGAATTTGGCTAATGGTACAATATTTACTATACCTAGTATCTACTATCTACAGGCATCTGTTTTGCTACGAGAACAAAGGAACTACATGACTCACTAGAGAGAAAGTAACAATCCAATCTTTTGGACCTTGTGATAACTGGAAAACCTATCCCGGATTTAGTATATTGCAGTCATTTTTTTTTTTTTTTCTTTTAATAACGAACACTGAGGTACAGCAAGAATAATTATAATAAAAAAGCACCGCATTTATTGTAGAAAGATCTGTTGGTCTGCATTTGACTGAAAGTGTTTAATCTTGACTGGGAAGCCCTATTAGTAATACTATGGAGACAGGGCAAATAATTATTTCAACAGAAATTAAACAAATCTCCAGTCAAATTTGTCCTTCTGGAATTCCTTGAACTGTCACAGGATTAATAGCGAAGGATGAGTTTAACTTGTCCTCTGTGCGTGTATATTTTAGCTTATTTCTTATTTGATTTTTCATGCCCAAATCCAGTATCCTACCGTTTTCCACTAGAGGTATGTCAGCTATTTGTTACAGTGAAACCAGAACAACGAAACACAAACCCACCAAACACCCCCCCATCCCCACAGGCTGGCTCTCAGACTAGACTACGCACTCACACCTTAGCTACAGTTCATTGAAAAAAGTTCATTGGCACTTGAGCAAACTGGGCGAAAAAAAAAAAGTCCTCCGTGTCAAACCTGTACAAAAAGCTCATGATTTCTCCATTAGATGTTAGGTGTAGTTTGGACCACTCTCTTCTTGCCCTGTGTCCACATGACTGAAGCTGAACACTCACCTAACGTGCTGAAGTGAGACTGCATTTGTAAGGTTTAGACCTGATGCCATGAACAGTAAGGTACGGCTGTTTGTACTGGATCCAGTCTTGCATAGCTTATGTGGTTGAACAGTCGGTGAGACAACTTCAAGGTGGAAGACCTACTGATGATTTAAAATACCTGGTTTCCTTCTCGTATTTTTAGCTTAACACTAGTCTGGCAACAGGATTTCGTCAACATTTCCCTCTACCGTTAACACCGTCACAACAGTCACTTTGAGAAAGATATGGGCCCTCTGAAACCAAAAGTACAAATTACCACTATTCATTGCTCCTATCAAACACTGCAAATCGCAAAAGCTGTGATTGCCTATTCCATTTTTCACTTGCATTTTCAAATCTATTGATGTTGATCTCGTATCTTAATCTGGCCACCGTCACGTTTAAAGGGAACTGAGGTAAAGGAGCCGAACAGGTTATTTCCCTGTAGATCTGCCCTATGGAATATCTTCTAGTCTTTTCTGTGGGAAAACAATGAAACCAGAAATTCTGTAATTAACAGTCAGTGTTTTTACAAATGAAAATGCAGACCTGGGGAGAGCACAGCTGACCATATGAGTGAGTAACAGCATTTGAATCGAAAGGTGAACAAGGAAGGGTATATGCCTTGCATATGCATAACTACAACAACAAAGTCAATTAATTGCATAATGGGCAGGTTAAATAACAGGGCAAGGGAGACGGGTTCCTCCCTCCCTCCTGTTAGCACCATTCACTGCCTCACTGACTCCAACATTACGGTGCCACTTAGATGCATGGCTTCCCCTTCACTCCAGGCTGGGACCAGGTTCAGCCCATGGTATGATGCAATGAACAGAGAAAGGCATTGTGATCTGGGTACCCTAGGGATGCTGTCGGTGTTTGGTAGGGCATTTGGGAGGAGAGAGGGATAGGACTGGAATGAGAGAATGCAAGAAAAACAGAGTATGGCGGTTTTTTTCTCTTCATGAAAATAGTCGTCTTCCTCTATTCCTGGCTCTAGAGCAAAAAAAAACCAAACCCTGCAAGGAAATCTGCGTGACCTGGTTACTTTGATGTCATCACCATCACCTAAGAAAGCAACCGTTTGAAAATACTAGGCTGTGCGCTTGAAAGACAGCTTGGACTAAGGATTTTGATGGGAAGTAGCCAGCTCTGCTGTACGTTTCCCAGAGCAGGAACACACAAGGTGCTTGAGATGGCACCCACCAACCACGGAGATGCCTCACAGCTGATCTAGCTTAGAGTGTGGCTAGTGCCAGAACACGTCGTGGGGAGGAATTTCAGGGGAAAGCCTTCCTTCTTTCAATCAGTCGGGTTTGATGCTGTCTCTGAAATACAAACATCTTTTATTATGCTACAAAAAATAGTTTCACTTTTTCTTAATAAAATATAGTTTTTAAATACTTAAAAAAATTTAACTATACAGTATTGTCAAGATTGGATTTTTTTTTTTTTTAACTTTTTTAGTAATGTTAATGAGACAGCTCTTGATGCCCTATTTTCCTTGGCCAAAGATGGACAAACCAGTTGGCTACTTCTCTTTCTTCTATTGCTAGAAGGCACCCAACATTTGACATAGCGCAGGTAACTGTGTGACATCACCACCAGGAATAAAAGCAGGAACTATACAGGAATCACTGGATTTTAGGGCCCAGTGGTGAAGAGGCAGAAATTACATACATTGGAAGATTTCGTTGGTCGGTCTCTCCTGGTGTGACTCGCTCCGGTGTAATTCATGTGCAGGTGACAGACACTTTTGAGAAAAAAAAAAGTTAAGGTTTCCGTCTCTACTGTGGGGCTGGTCATGTTGGATAGATGCCTGAGAGCTTGTTTGTGGAAATAATGAGCATCATTTTCGGTGTCTGGTACAATGAAGTGGCCTGTAGCTGCAGCCTCCATCTGCAACTGTAATATGAATACTCAATAAGAACAATAATATGTACTATAAAATAGATCCTTGGTAAAAGCCATACAGTAAATCGCTATAAAAGTGGCTGCAATGTCACAGAAACTGAATGCACGGAGCCATTTAAATATCCCAAATATTTTATATATCATTAGCAAAAGCTGAGAGTTCTGCTCAGAAACATGTTTCTGGGTCCATCACCTTTCAAATACCTATTGACCTAAGAATTAAAGCAGGAAAATGATCTAAAACTCTCCAAACGCAGTTTTTCAAGTGTGATGAGTTTCTGTATAGCCACCATAAAAATACGTGGGGAAGCAGGGTCCAATTCTTTTCTCTGGAGAGAAAACTTACGGGAATTAGATGTGTCAGACAATGAACTGATCTCCCAATTTTTCAGTTTTATGAAGCACCGCTAACACAAAACTGCCAGTAACAAGCCCCCGAGGGGGTGTGGTATTTCACGTGAGCTGCTAGACACTGCGATGTTAACTTCTCACTTACCTTCACTCACCCTTCACAAGTCTCTCACTTCGTATTTCATGCATCCTTTAACACACTGAGCATCAGAAGTAAAGACACTTTGTATTTCCTTTTCCCAGTTAAGACAAACACTTTCAATCTGAGATTAGTCTTAGAATACAAGGGCAGCAAAGATTAATACATCGGAAATAATGAGAGCCGTGTGGTTGGTTGTAACAGCCTCAGCACAATCCATCCAAAGATGTTTTCCTTTCATTCTCTGGCTTCAGACTTGGAATGCAAAGTCCACCAAGCAAAGAGGGCTCTGTCTGCAGCAACAAGAGCTAGATCTCTGGTTTAGTGGTACCCAATTTCACTGCAGGGCCTTTGGGCTTACTCCAAGAGGAAGTACAACAAATACTTAAAGAGAGTTACAATCCCCTTCAGCCCTCACAAGCACCCTCATTCACTGCAGCTTCTCATTTAATAGACCCTAGACTAAAACCTTCTGTCTACAACCACTCTTGAGGTTACGGAGATTTGCACTGAACAAGAAAAGAAAAATGACAAGAACTGAAAACCGCCCCCAGCAACCGTAGATTAGCCCAGCCTGATAGAAAATAAATGGCTTCTGACACAGGGGATGGGATTGTCTAGACTTCTCATTTGGAAAGGAGCATTTTAAACATCAGAAAACAAAGATCTGGTAAACAGAACCCAAGGGTATTCATAAGAGTAGAACATTCTTCTTATTTCCCCTTTTCCTTGTCATGTACAACACTAAGGTAAGGGAGCCTTGTCCTTTATGCTACATAAGACATCCTTCTTGAGTGTGCACAACCTTGTGCTTCTTGTGTGGTAAACATTACAATGGAGATGCCCCTCCCAATATCTCTGAAGTGCAAGTTCTCTCCAGTACTGGCAAGTAACAATCATAACAATCGCTGTTATGCTTTGCATTGCGTTACAGGTTGGTTTTTTTTTTTTAGTTTTTGAAGGTCTTATCTGCACCATGTATCTGGGCCAGTTCCAGCTGATGCAACTGACGTGGATCATGAGTTCGTATATAAAAAATTTCAGTTTTGCTCATAGGTGTCTCTCAGGTGGACAATACATAAAGGGAAAACAAGGATGGATGAAGATATATTTGACCAGCTCCTAGTACTGGATTCAACAGTTAAGAAGATGGGCTGTGAATTGATTTAGAAGATGTGGGCATATAAAAGCTTGGAATGCTTGATGAGGTTTTTTTTTTATTTTTTAATCAACGTAGGTGGAAGTAAACATTTATTAACATTTGGTCAAGTGTAGTGTAACTTGCATTTGTATTTTCATTGTTATTAATGGAGGTATGTAGAGATATACAGAAACCTTGAGACAGTTGTTTTTCTATTGCATACAGACTAGCAGTCCATTGGAAACAGAGGATGAAAGCATGAAGGTTAGATCTTAGAGGGCGGCAGTTCTTCATGCACAGCTTTTGTCAATCTTGATTTTTGTTTGTTTGTTTTGTTTTCAAAAATAAAAACACGGGAAACCAAGATCAAATGATGGTGGACAGGAAAGGTGACATCATCAGCCAGAAAAACACCAGAAGTGCCTGAACCCCCTCATTCAAGTCCAAAGGTGCTAGTTTCTTCAACAGCTGTCAGCAGCTTTTCATAGAGCATAGAATACGAGGGGTAAGGTGGAAGATCCAAACGGTTGAAACACGTGTGTGCCCTGCAAAAGGAAAATATGCTAGATGTTAAGCTTAATCTAAATAACTTGAGAAAATAAGAACTGAGAAAATAAGCTCCTACTGAAACTCATGACATTCAAGTTCACTCAAGAGAAATAAAAAGAATTTCTAACTATTTAAGTAAAACTCAAATTCCATCAAAGTCCGAGGTACTGAAATGTATATGTACACACACATGAATATTTCAAATAGAAGACGTGAGTTTAGTATGAACATCATTCTCTACTATTCCTGTATCAGATGTTTCAGGGATCATACAGAGAATGCTGGAGGTCACTGAGGAGTTGGAGTCTAGGCCCTGATAGAAAACTCCACTAATTTTGGTTGCTTTGAGTTTTTTTTTAAAAAAAAGTGCAACTCATCTGTACATCCAACATGAGCACCAGTGGACGAGCATAACGTGATGAACTACACTGACAGAGCGGGCTCAGCATGTGTTTATAGGGAGGCAGAGCTGACTGGTAAAAGACCATTCAGGGATCTGCTAACTGAAGAAAGGAAGGCAAAAAAAAAAAAAGTGCAACTCATCTGTACATCCAACATGAGCAGCTACTATGTTTTGCACCAGTGGACGAGCATAACGTGATGGAACTACACTGACAGAGCGGGCTCAGCATGTGTTTATAGGGAGGCAGAGCTGACTGGTAAAAGACCATTCAGGGATCTGCTAACTGAAGAAAGGAAGGTTGCTGAAAATATTCCTGTAAGTCAGCTGTTGGCCATCTGCTGCAAGTCTGGCCTTTCCATGTTATTTATTTGTAGTAGCCAAGGCAAAAGCAAAATATTTTGTGCAGAGCAAGCTGCCAACTTGATGACCCTCTCCTTCCCCCGGGTCTATCGTTATATTTACCCCCAGTTGGCAGCACCTTCAAAAGCAGCCGCGGAGCGGGTTCCACGCCTGCCTCCACCTTGTTGCAGCTTTTCTGGTAGTGGTGATTACAGCCAGATGCAGGCTGCCCTTCACTCTGTGAGGTGCTACACAAACCTGGGGCAAAGAAACAGTCCCTGCCCCGACAGTTCATCCATTTCAACTGGCTGAAAAAAATGTAGAGCTCATTTGACAACTTGGGGGGGGGGGGGGGGGGGGGGAAGTTGGGGGGAGGGCACATTTTCATTGAAATTGTTTTATTCTTTTCACTCAGCTTGGAGTTTGACATGAAGATGATAGAAATACTTCTGTTTCATCTTACTCCCTGTGATAAACAAAAATACAGAAGGAATTGTAGCCTCAATGGCTAACAATCTCTACGCTTCTGGCCCCTAGTATTTTTAGAAGCCATGAAGTTGTTTTACCTTTAGCTTTTCTATCATCTCATACTTTAATTCAATTTTATTTCTTCAAAGCTGAAGCAGAAGACAGACAGAGCTGCCTTGGAGAAAGTATTTCAAACCGTTCTAGTTGTATCTCTCAGGCCACCCACAAAGTGAGAAAAACATCCTACTGGTAGATGGGCTGGCCTGAGACTTGCAGATACAGAGATTTATCAAGCACCAATGGTGAATCATTAAAAGCAATCAGGCAACTGAAATAGCCAGAGGCACGTAATCTTCACTGCATCACAGAATTTCAATTAGGAGAGCTTTTATCATCCTTTTCCCCCCTCTGAATGAAGATTTGTTAGCTGGTCACTCTCAGGGAGAGTGTACAATAAACACAGAATTTGTGGAAATGAGCTGGGAACACGTGAGTCGGTGAAAGAGGAAACATTAATAAAACCATTATTTAATATGTCTCTTGAAATTAAACGTGGCAGCTCATGTGTGTTATCCATGAGTAGCCCTGCACTGTTTACTGTTATCTCAGCAATCTTTGGCAGCGATGTTTTTACAACCCATTGCCAATATGTATCAACCACTGGGAGTTAATTAACTGAAGGATTCCCCTAGTCCATTCACAACCTGTTTCTCAGAAGCAAGACAGCACCATTCAGAGCCAGCTGGTCTGGAGGAGCTCAGCTGCCCAGCTCCAGAGCTGGGAGCAGAATAGTCATGGTGGCTCAGGTGTGGATTCAGCTAATAGAACTTTGCTGAACCTGATGTGATATCTCTGTAGGGTACTAAACCATGGCATGTTTAACTGTAGGAGACCACAGCATCTCGGACATGGCTGTCACATGTCCTCTTGTGTGGGGCAGATGTATCCACAGCCACTGATGCTGGTGTTTGCTTTCTGGCAGACAATCATCTTGACTGATCATTATCCATCTCCTTTCATACCTGGTTATGAAACAAGCTTGCAATGCTGTGGACTTTTAGTCATTCTTGACCTAGTCAAACTCAGACCAATTCATTTTCCTATTATGAGATTTACAGAAGTGGTCTCTTCCATAGAAAGTCTCAAGGAATTTATTGTGGAGAGAAACTATTACAAAAGAAAGGAAGCCAAAGTTAACATGTTTAGCAAAAAAAAAGCATTTTACCAAGAAACTCTTGGGGCCAGTCTTTTTTCAGTGGTGTCCAGGGACAGGACAAGAGGAAATGGGCACAAACTTGAACATCAGAAATTCCATCTCAACGTGAGGAGGAACTTCTTTCCTGTGAGGGTGGCAGAGCCCTGGAAGAGGCTGCCCAGGGAGGTGGTGGAGTCTCCTTCTCTGGAGACATTCAAACCCACCTGGACACGTTCCTGTGGGACCTGCTCTGGGTGGACCTGCTCTGACAGTGGGTTGGAGGAGATGATCTCCAGACGCCCCTTCCGACCCCATAGCATTCTGTGATTCTGTGTTCTCCAGATCAACAACTTTATAAAAAAAAAAATCCTTTCGCTCCAAAAAACTTCATCAAATAATAAATGAAAACTAAATTTTCAGGAGTACTATGGATGTGAGGGTTACACTTCTACCTACTTAAGGTGCAAAACACACTATATCACAAAGGGCAAAACCCGAGTTCAAATTCTGGTCTGTAATACTGATGTGGATCTACTGCAGCTCTGATGATGCCAGTGAAGCCCACTCAATCTTACAACAAGATAATTATGTGAAAATTGTCTGATATACATTCAGCAATGGGCCTAATTAGCTCTTTGCTGCAAAGGTCAGACGCAGCATCTACTTGTGTAACTGAACAATATATTCTGCTTCACCTGAAACAAGAGAGGATTGGCTGGGACTCGTTCTCATTCAGTGTTCCCTCTCTCCTCGGCGTTGCTGTGTGTAGCACCTTGCCTCTTGCAATTGAAAACCAAAACCTTTATTTTCCAAACCGGACTAAAGACAAATTGCTCAGTTTCTGGTCTGTTCTATCCCGTGCTGCGTGATACTGCAGCGCACAGGGCAATTAAGAGGCACGGATATTTGCCATAACATCCACCATTGCCTAACTCGGTGCCTTGTCCTCCAAAGAGGTGGGTTCCTCCTGAACTACAGTAAGCATAATCCAGGGGACACTTGGTGCACATCTTGGGGAGAAAACATTACATCAGCAGTGCAAGAAACAGTCAAAACAATGAGAAAAGTCTCTCTTCCCTTGATTAAGCCTCCTACCCCAAAAGCCTGCCGACATTTGAGAGGGTGTTCAGGGAGTGAGAGGTCTGGAATAAGAATTAGACTGCTAAGAGCTTTTATGGAAAGGATTCTGGCTTCTCTAGAAGAAAATGCAAGATAAAGTCTTGCAAATCAACTCTGACCCTCACATGCCCTCATCCTCCAGTAAGTAAAGCAGTAAACGGACCACTTAAAATTTGATTCTTCCTGGCAGTCTGTCTTTACTGCTCAAAGCAGTTTTGGTGGGGCTGAACCTTTAATTTTGCTCACTGTTACCAGTGCTGGGCTATTTCTTTTCTTTTATGAATTCTCTCTAAACATCGTAAGCTTTTAAAATCTTTGCATTCTTCTTTTCTTTGTCACTTCCTTTAATCCCCACAGCGATGAGAGTCCAAAGGCAGTAAGTGTGCACAGAACCCCCTCCTATCTTATTTATAGCTTGAACCTATCAACTGAAATAAGACTTGCATTCGAACATAACCGTGTCTGTCAGGCAGAAACCGAGCATTTCTCCTTTTTGCCTTGCTTTCTGTAGGTGAACCCACAAACCACTGTTTGATCAACCTCAGGACCCACAGGTATCAACTTTTGTTCCTTTTGTCTGTAAGGAGAAGCTGTCTGGGCACCCACTGCTTAATACATGACTGCAGAGTTGTAGATGGTATTTCTGTCGTATGTAGAAAAGAGGAAAGAGAGGAGGGACAGGAGATAAGGACCGATAAAAGACAGCAAAGCACTCGCACTCAGTCCACTGGGAAAGAAGGAAACCATGAGAACAAAGTTCTTTGTAGTCATACTCAATCGTTTTTTTAATTGCTGGATGGGATTCTGGGGTGATTAAATCCTTGATCATCTAATAGAGAGGGACAGAATTCCCTTACAAAAGATGAGATATTTACTAGCGTGGTAATCTTTATCATACATAAACGGCAGACGGTATGTAATCACTAACATTACTTTGCTGAATGAAAATCTCTTTTGATGAAAGGGTAGTTGCAGCTCAGCACCGATGGGGAAAGTGACCTCATTGAGTCAAAAGTGATTATTTGAATCACTGGGATACATGCCGAGGTCCTGCCTTAATTGATACTCCCACTGAAATAACCTTGGAGCTGACAGGAGTTTTGGCCAGGTGAGGAGCGCAACCAGGAGACGGGGCAGTGGCATTTGTATGCACTAAACAGTTTTCCAGGCTGAGGTTTTAAGAAGAGGGAACTGTTGTCTCTCCTATAGCTATAGTAGAAAACATTTCTAGTTCTCTGCACAGGTTTGGTTTGGTCCAGGAGAGCTGCTCCCACGATATCAGGTGAAGCTAGAAAGGCAGTGTCTGTTCATTAATGTTTGGTGGGGAACAAAGAATAAGTTCTTGCAAAAATGCTGCTAAAACTGGTTCTGTGTTAAATATCTGCATGACCTAGGAAAGGTGAAGAGAAGCTTCCTGCTTCAGAAGAGGCTGTAGCTGGAAGAATTCTCCATCCATCCCTACTTAAGCAACCAGTTACAAGAAGTAAAATACACAACTCCTTTATTTTGGGAGAAAGTTTTGCATAATAGATAGGGAGAGTTAAACTCAACCTTGATGAGCAACTGGTTGAACCTGTTCCCCTTCAGTGTTATTTCAGTTGACAAGTTCCATCAGTTTGGGAGGAACCAGGCTGCAGATTTACACTGACAGATGTGTAAATCGGGCAGTCCTTTTGGAATCTGCTTTAGGGTCATCGTCTAGAGATCTGGGATTAGAGCAGCATCGCGGAGCTGTATAGTACTTTGATTTTATAACGGGTGTGGACTAAAATATAGATGGGAATAACGTGTCTGGTACACACGTACACTCCAGAAATAAACCACTGCTGTAACCTAACACTTAGTTCTCTTACATGAACATGTTACACCACCATTACCCTGTTCCTGGAGGGGAACTGGTCCTGGGGAACAGGTGCACCAATTTAGAATGAAGTTACCAGATTCTCAGCCTTCCTGAAAAAGCCTTACTTATCCTCAGTGCTTTCAAGAAGTGCTCTAGGTGTTATGTATTAGAGGTTACACTTCAAAAAGTGTTGCATTTTAGAAATTTACACCATGCTGCTTTTCTGGGAATGCCACGCTGCTGTTGCAAATGCAAAAGCACGGCTGGTTTTAGGTGTTTTCACATCTTTGCTCGCTGTAAGCAAATGGCAGTGGCACAGTCCATTGCTGAAGTGCAAGGACAATATGTAAGGAAGAGCCACCTAACTAACTACTTCAGGTGTCTGGAGCAGGAGTGAGAAAATGAAGAGTCCTGGACTCTCCTGATAGAGCTAAAACTCATCTCAGGACTTTGTAAAAAGAGCTGAAAACCCAAAGGCCAGACTAACCTCTCCCCAGTGCCCCACCATCCACCTGGATGTCGGAAAGCCAAACACAGCAGCTTTATGCAAGCTCCCAAAACACCTCTCACAGCATTGTCTTTATTGAGTCAGGGCCTAAGAACGAAGGGCAGTAATTAAGAGGTGCAATCCACACCCGAGCACGTAAACGACTAAATCTGATCATTGCTAAGACATGAGAAAGCTGGTTGGTTTTTTCCCTAGGACTTTGAAAACGTGGAGCAAGGGTAACTCTCACTGTGAGGCTGTAGGAATTGTTAGGAGGACAAGGGAATTTTTGTGGTTTATTTTAAACAGCTAAAGTTAGTTACACTCATATTGTATCACAGGGGCCAAAAGGCCTAAGGGATCTGACATATGACCTTTTTTTTTAGTCTCCAAAGCTAAGTAAATATGTAAGTAAATCTAAATAAACATGAGCAATCCATAATCAGGCATTTAAAAAAAAAGTTTCAAATAACATTTCTTTAGTTGCTTAACTAAGGATTTAGGGAGCCTCTAGGTTTAGCCTGTGTGTTTTATGTATTTCTTAACACTGTGTATACTTGGCAGCACCCCATAATTTTATAAAAATGCAGGTAGTAATTCACAGTGCTCAAGCTGTGTTTATTCCCCCTGAGCAAGTGTTGTTTCTCTTTCCCCTGGCTAAAATGAAGGCAGAGCTCTAAGACTTCTAAAAGGCGCTAACAACTTTCACCTGGAAAAGAGGCCTCTTTTGGGGAGAGCAACAAGTTTGGTGATCGGCCCGGCAAACCTAGGAGTCCTTCATGTGAATATCTCGGGGCTAAGTGAATCTAGGGCATAAGTGATGCCTAGGTTCACAAAGAAAGTTAAGCAGAGCAGAAAGAGGCCAATTACCTTTTCAGGACTCGATGGGTCAGCCCAGGGCATTTTCCCTGCACGCGCCAAGGTCCACCCTCCCCTCTCGCCCCTTCCCATCCCAGCAGGAGCGCGGGGAGCTCCGCAGAAACGCTGCGCCCGTCTGTGAGTTCCATCTGCTGCCTGGCTGCAGGCAGGAACGCCCTCGGTCAGCTCTGAAACCCTTACTAGAACCAGACTACATATATAGGAGGACATGGATCTGTTGGAACGGGTCCAGCGGAGGGCCACGAGGATGATCAGAGGGATGGAGCACCTCTGCTGTGAAGACACCTCTCCTATGAAGCACCTCTCCTATGAAGACAGGCTGAGAGAGCTGGGGTTTTTCAGCCTGGAGAAGAGAAGGCTCCGGGGAGACCTTATAGCAGCCTTTCAGTACCTGAAAGGAGCCTACAGAAGAGCCGGAGAGGGACTCTTTACAAAGAAGAGTAGCGACAGGACAAGGGGCAATGGTTTTAAGCTGGTGGAGGGGAGATTTAGGTTAGATACTAGGAAGAAATGCTTTGCTGTGAGGGTGGTGAGACACTGGAACAGGTTGCCCAGAGAAGCTGTGGCTGCCCCATCCCTGGAGGGGTTCAAGGCCAGGCTGGATGGGGCTTGGAGCAACCTGGTCTGGTGGGAGGTGTCCCTGCCCAGGGCAGGGGGATTGGAACTAGATGATCTTTAAGGTCCTTTCCAACCCAAACCATTCTATGATTCCATGATTCTATGATATATATATATATATATATATATGCTGCAAAAGGAGGATCAGGCCTACGCCTACCAAGCTCTCGGGCTTTCTTTCCACATTGCTGGCTGCAGCTCGATATGCTGCAAAAGGAGGATCAGGTCTACGCCTACCAAGCTCTCAGGCTTTCTTTCCACATTGCTGGCTGCAGCTCAGAGGGCATGAATCATCTCACTGACCTTGCGTGTTTTCATCTGGTTTTAAGTCTCAGTGCCTACATCTAGCTTTTGTGAAGGCTCTAGTTCTCTTGTGTAGCTTCTGTGGAGTCTTTAGGGTGGATGGACATCAGTCAGAATGTACCAGGTGCGATTCATCTCAGCTATATTCAAAGCTCAGGTGAGTCAGAGGGCATGAATCATCTCACTGACCTTGCGTGTTTTCATCTGGTTTTAAGTCTCAGTGCCTACATCTAGCTTTTGTGAAGGCTCTAGTTCTCTTGTGTAGCTTCTGTGGAGTCTTTAGGGTGGATGGACATCAGTCAGAATGTACCAGGTGCGATTCATCTCAGCTATATTCAAAGCTCAGGTGAGATGAATTGTGCCTTAAAAACACAATTACTTCCCTTTTCCTGACTTTTGAGGGAGTCAGTGTAAGGGTAAAGTGCTGGAGCAGAACTCAAAGCGGAATGTCTCACTGGCTGTGCCATGGCTGTCTTGGGTGGCCTTAGGCAAGTCAGACCTCCCCTCTGTGCCCCAGTCCCTTCCTTCTGAAAAGGAAGATGACCCCTCCTTTGGGAAGCACCGTGAAGTCTGTTGGCTGTGTGTGACATTATGGCTCATTTGCTCCTGGCTGGCTGACTGAACTAGATGTAACAAATTGGGTATTATCACCACATGGGCTGAGATGAATTGTGCCTTAAAAACACAATTACTTCCCTTTTCCTGACTTTTGAGGGAGTCAGTGTAAGGGTAAAGTGCTGGAGCAGAACTCAAAGCGGAATGTCTCACTGGCTGTGCCATGGCTGTCTTGGGTGGCCTCAGGCAAGTCAGACCTCCCCTCTGTGCCCCAGTCCCTTCCTTCTGAAAAGGAAGATGACCCCTCCTTTGGGAAGCACCGTGAAGTCTGTTGGCTGTGTGTGACATTATGGCTCATTTGCTCCTGGCTGGCTGACTGAACTAGATGTAACAAATTGGGTATTATCACCTATCAACATGAAGTCCCTTTACTAAGCTTCCTCGTGATGAAAATGGGGAACCAGCAGAGCAAATGAAGGGATTACACTCAGGTCTCCGGCCAAAACTCAGAGACAGATTCTGGCTTTCATGGCTCTGTAAACTCACAAGTATTTTTACCAGTATTTTGAAAGTAAAGGGAACAGAATCAGCTGAGAGGCTCCTGCTGGACTGGATCTGTTCCAGAATCAAAATAAGAGAACCACGTTTGGACCTCTGGAAATCTTTATCTTGACCATTTTCCAAGATTCAAAGTAGCTTAAATTGAGCCTAAAAATCGAAAAGGCAGCAAAAGAAAACACTTTTTTTTTCCCCCTGAATGTAATTACAGAACAAACTGATAATAATCTCTTTGGCTGTTTAAGATGTCCATACTGTATTCATTACCTTTCACTGGCAGAGAGAGCAAAAGAAGTACCAGGCTCACCTTTCTCACAGCAATTCTCTTTTTATATCCTAGTTGGGACGTACCTTGGGAGGGAGGTGATTTTCCCCCATTTCTCTATACAGAAACGCCGTAGCCCGTTGCTGCCCCGGAGAGCCGCGAAGCCCTCGTACGGCACGCTCGATGTCCCCGTGACAAACTGCAACAACCGCAGTCTCTGCTCGTTGTTAAACCTCTCCACCGCTGCCCAGAACCACCGTATTACTATGTGGCCATCATGGTAACCTAAACCAAAAAGCAAGACAGAAATTAACATCACCTGCTCTAAGTGGGAAGTGCAACACTGAAATGTGTTCCCACTAGCACGGGGCAGTGTATCTCATTCTTGATGAGCAGTCCTGGCTGGGGATACCATCATATTATTAACTCATTTGAAACCCTGAAACTCAAATATATATATATATTTGAGTCGTGTTGGCCCTTCACAAATCCCTTGGCAAGAACCAGGGCTACCTGCATGAGGTATAAAAGACCTATTGTGAAATGCCACACAGTGTGAGTCCTAATGACTTCACTATTTCTGGTTCCCAACTAAATTCTCTTTTGGATTGCAATAGCGTTTGACATATGGGAAGGAGTTTGCTACCGCAAGCCCTTCCCTGGCAAACTTCCCACCTGAGGGGCTCTGGGCCTTGGTTTGTGCTAGGGAAAGCCAGCATCAACCCAGGCTGAATCTGTTTCAATAGCTCAACAGAAAAAAAGGAGGAGAATAACTTGGGGGACTAGCTGTGCTTGTGGTAAGCTGTGTAAGGTAACACAAAGGCTGGGCAGTGAGCAGCCAAAACTTAAACCTTGTATTTTAGGGGAGAATACGTGAACCTCAGGGACTTTCCTTTTGTAGTGCAAAACTGGTGGATTTCACATTTATCCATCATCCAAGACAGCCTGGATAAATCATGCTCAGCGTTTAAAGCAAAACCAGGCCAAGCATTAGAGGAGAAAGGGGAAAAAATCCATCTTGACATAGTTCAGGCTGAGGGGATGGTTAAGCAATATCTGTATTTTGTTCAAGTGTAGTTGGGAACCATGAAATTCGGCTCTTGAATTCAGCCAAGAGGGCTTGTGATACTACTTTCAGTGAGGCCAGGAGTTCATTCACAGTCATCTGAGTAAGTAACTTTTAGATCTAATACTGCAAATCCTTTTCAGTCCCGTTAAGTCGGTAGGAATTGAGCGGGTAAAATCTGGCTAAGAAGTAGCAGAATCAATTTCAGTATTATTACGTCTGTTGATCCAAACCCCACACCTTATTTTAATTCACGAATTATTCTTCACAAAAACTTCCTGAACAAAATGTAGCATTTCCCTCAGGAAAGGGAGAAGGAAAAGATGGACCAAAAGATGGACTTCTTTCATGTTTTAGGCTGAAAACAGTAAAAAGAAAGAGAGAAGGAAAAGATGGACCAAGTCTTTCATGTTTTAGGCTGAAAACAGTAAAAATATGAGTAAGCATCAGCAGGCAGTTTACCTCCACGGTATTCCGTGTTGTTACGCCAGTCATTAAGATCTATTTCTGCAGTGCCAGCTATAACCAGCTCCAGTTCTCTGGCATCGAAAACAGAGACAAGCCTGGAGTCTACAACCTGGAACAAAAAACACTGGTAAGCAGGGTTTCAGGCTGGAAACAAAGCAGATGCCACATCTCTGATGGCCAGCTCTTTATTCTGAAGAAGTCTGCATGCTGACAGCTAACTTCCACTCCTCTGCTGATAAATCTCTGCTCCTCTCCAGGGATACTGCTGATGTTTTGAGCTGCGAGCAATGATGACACACGAGATCTGACCAGAATGAAACAATGGAAGTGACAGGACATATTCTGTGCGGAACATTGTTCATTGAATGATTCTTCATTCTTCACTCTGACAAGTGATTTTGATAGTCAAAGGCTGGATTTGTAACGTGGACCATTTATTTAATATTTGTTTTGCATTGGAATTTGATTACAACTGTGTAGGAGTGCCCTCAGGTCTTCAGCCACCAAAGATGCAGCTGAGGTTCACTTGAATGATGTGAAACCTTAAAGCTCTAACGGTATTCGCAGGGAGAAAAAGCCAGTGAACCATATGCAAACTTTAGGGAACTGTAGGGAGTCGCTCAGCCAACCCCTTTCTACACCAAAGGGCTGACCACGTCTGTTCAGCTACAAAGCACCCTCACTGGCTGTAATGTCAGCGCACGGCTGCTCAGAGCCCTCAGTTACCAGGACTATTCTGTGTGTCCATTATCTGCTGTTCCATTTGCCAGGGTGGCCATTCTTTCAATTAATTTCCCTCCACAACAGAGCCCTCAACTTCTACTTGCATTACAGCTTCCAGGGCAAGATACTTTCCAGTACCTGAAGGGACTACAGGAGAGATGGGGAGGGACTCTTTGCCAGGAAGTGCAGTGACAGGACAAGGGGTAACGGTTTTAAAGTGGAAGAGGGGAGATTCAGATTGGATACCAGAAAGAAATTCTTTGCTGTGAGGGTGGTGAGACACTGGAAGAGGTTGCCCAGAGAAGCTGTGGCTGCCCCATCCCTGGAGGGGTTCAAGGCCAGGCTGGATGGGGCTTGGAGCAACCTGGTCTGGTGGGAGGTGTCCCTGCCCAGGGCAGGGGGGT